TAGAAGGTCAGTAATCATCGAGAGCGGCATGAACTCACCTTCAGCTCTTCCAGGGTGAAACCACGGCCGGCACGCAGCTTGGTGTGGTAGCGGATGGTGGGGCAACGGACCACGGGGCGCAGGGCACCGCTGGCTGGGCGGGGGAAGACGGCCTTGGCCTTCTTGACGCGGTTCTCGTGCCTGCGGACCTTGCGGGCCGGCTGGTTGAACCAGGTCTTCACATGCCGCTGCCACCACTTGTGGTAGTGCTGATTCGGAATCATATTGTTACCCTTACCCATCTTGGCGGTTTAGAATAGCTGCAATGGATGCAAAGACACAAAACAAACATTAATGTCTATAAGTAAACTGGAATATGCGGTATAACCAAGCTGCAGACCCACGTGGCTGCGTCATCTTGCTTGTTTTATCTGTGATTCAGAGCAGTTCCAATTGGTCTATGGATGTTTAAAGAAGCCCCTAGGCTTCCTCTACACTTCACACACTTGATGGCTTGATTTCCATATCGTTTATCTTCTATTTTCATTTAATTTCGAGACGCTCTCGAAATTTACACACCTTTTCTTCCCAACAACGAATTAAAAAGGAAATCGCAACCAACTTCACGTCGTTGGCCAAGCGAAAATTTCCCTCGAGAAATTCCCTAATGCGAGCGAGAAATTTCCCCAGCTATCGATTGGTGATGCAATCAGTGTTAGCGAGAATACTCAACAAATCGCATTTTATACGCCCAGCCAGTTGTGTTAAAAGTGTAAAACGCTGACGCTTGCCATTTAACAGGCAGGAAAAATAATTACAAATAGTTACGAGTGCATTTTGGGCATTTATTAATGTTTAATTGCCTTATCGATTGACTGGCGTGTCGCGTGGCAACTCTGAACTGTACCTCTGATACAGATAAAAAACTATTGACTATTGAACCGTCTATCTATAATCGAGAAATTGCGCGCTAATTTCCCGCATTGGTCAGCAATCGTCGTCGAACCCAAATCAAAACAAACAACCAGGATCACCGTTCCCGATCCCCGAGAGAAACGAGACGTAGCGAAGATGAGTGAAGAGGTATCCGCGTCGCCGGTGGCCATTGGCGAGCTCAAGTATGAGGATGTGTCGCAGCTGAACTTCTCCAAACTGTACTCGCCCAAGATGAAGAGCGTCTATTGGCGCTACTTTGGATTCCCCTCGAACGACAACAACGAGGTGATCACCAAGCAGAACGTGGTCTGCATCAAGTGCCACAAGGTGCTGACCAATCATGGCAACACCACCAATTTGCGGGCCCATCTCCAGCACCGGCACAAGGATCTGTTCAAGGACCTGTGCCAGGAGCACGACATCCATGTCCCGCCGCGCAAGACGCCGCGCAACGTGACCCATCCGCCGCTCTCCAAGCGGAACGTCTCCTCGCGCCGGGTCAAGCTGGAGTTCATCAATAATCGAAATCACGACAACGGCTCCGATGATGAATTGGACGAGGCCGCCGTGGCCACTGCAGCCATGCAGGCGGAGGAGGACGCCTCCTCGCAGACCATGCTGTACGAGACCATGGTGCCGTTCACCTACGACGAGGCCGATAATCTGGTCGAGGAAGAGGAGCGCCTGGTCATGGAGCCCAAGTACAGTCGCAAGCGCAAGGTGGCCACTCCCTCGGGCGCACTGATGCACGGGCGGGCCATTAAGCACGAGGATGGCGGCTACTCCTCCGTGCCGAACATCGCCAATCTGGCCGAGGCACTCACGGACATCGTGATCAAGGATTTCCGCAACGTGGAATGCCTGTACGATGCCGGTTTCAGTGAATTTGTGCGCCAGGCCATGGGCAATTCGTCACCACTGCCCGAGCCGCACAAGATCGAGTCTCTGCTCAACGAGATGCACGCCTCCAAGTTCCTGGAGATCGGCGAGATGACGCGCGAGTTCACCTCCGAGAAGCCCTTCTCCCTGGCCTTTGAGCAGTGGATAAATGTCGAGCAGCGCCGCTTCCTCAGCATCTACCATCACTATCTGGACGAGGAGACACAGTCGGCCAGGAGCATGCTGTACGCCACTGTGGAGTACACCGACTACATTGTCTTTGACGATCTGCTGACTGACTTCTACTTGGCCAACTGCACGCTGGCCATCATAAACTATGAGGAAGACGAGGACTTGTTGCACACCTATCTGCGAGAGAAGAGTAAGTGCAGCACTAGGATGGGATGAATCAATTAAGTAACAATATTATTTCCCCTTCAGATATCCCCATTGCCCTGTGCTACGTTTCGGTTATTGACAAATGCCTGCGTCGGGTCTTTGAGCTCGAAGAGGTGGCCACGCTAATTGAGCAGGTGAAAGACCTCATGCAGCGCCATTCGTCAGAGATCGCCTCTAAGGTGGCTGAGGGTCCCTTGCCCACATACAACGAGCACTTCCCCTGGACACTATACGAGATGCTCAAGTTCTTTGCCGAGTCCATCTCCTGGTCCGAGGACATGGATCAGCTGGTTATATCGGCCAAGACGGTGACGGAGGCACTCAGTGCTCTAGTGGTAAGCTGTCCACCGAGCTAAAACTCTGGAACACATATCTTATTGGCTAAAATCTTACAGATTGCTTTGGACACACTGCGTGGCGAGGATATCCCATTGTGCAGCATGCTTTCGCCAATTACCTCAAAGATTCTCATCAAGAAGCTGGGCCTGGCCGAGCAGGACGATCCCCTAATGATGAATGTGAAGCGCACCATATCCGGCGTACTGCAGACCCACATCATAGCTAATGATTATCTGACCGCTGCCGCGTTGCTGGACCCACGCTTCCACCGCCTGACCACTATTGACAACCTGGAGAGAACCGTTCGCATGCTGACCCTTCAGTACAACAAGAACTTTGGAACGGTGGGCGAAGGAGAGGCCAACGAAGTGGCAGCCACCTCCAGTGCCGTGACCATCAAGTCAGAGCCCAGGGCAGGAGCAGGCGGTGCAGCCAGGAAGTCGAGTAAGTACAGAAAATAAATTGGTTATACTCCATGAACTAACCCAAAACTCCCTGTAGAACTGGAACTGCTGTTTGACATTGCCGAGATACCCAGTCCTCCGAAAAGGGATGCCGACAGCAATGTGGAAACTGATCTGAAGCGGTATCGCAACGAAGTGGTCGTCCAGCTGGATGAGTCGCCCATCGAGTGGTGGCTCAAGATGGGCCACATCTACGGAACGCTGCGTGACTTGTCCAGCCTGTACCACAGTGTGCCCGGCGTGGTGAGCCTCAGCTTCAAGAAGGCGCTGCGAGACCAAATATACGATTTTAACAAGCGCTTCATGCTCACCGGAAGTCACATCGATGCGATCCTCTTTCTGCACCATCACAACAATTAGCTTGCACCCGCAGCTTCCTGTTTTTATCTAATACAATTACATTTAAATACTTTTAACTTAATCCGATCTTGTGTATATGAACATGACGAACAAGGGCAAGGGCGCAATTCCGCCGTACTGTAATCCAAAAGACAGCCCTGGCCGGACACAGAACATCTATAGGTATCACGTATAAATGTTAAGAGAAATTCTGACAGCATAGATCCCAATGAAACCTTAACTCTAAGAATAGGTACTTGTTAAATAAAACGATAACCAAACTACAAATTTCGCTTTTTAAACTTAATCATTTATTCAAACATTGCACAGAAATGAATATATTTAATTTTAAAAACATACGATTATTGTACATAATTGATAACTTAGAGGAAAACAAAAATAAAAAGTATAACTGAGATTTTATATGATTCATGTTTTGATATATGTACGTAGTTATCAATTTAAAGACTTAAGTATCTTCTATGGGTTTTTTTAATTTAGTGAAAGTTGTATCAAACTGAACTTTAGCGAAATTGTAATATGGTTTTTAAATTATTTAGATTTGTTACTTGGAAACACTTTGCTTTTAACTTTTCAAGATATTGCTACATTATTAAAATTTTTTTATTTAATAATAGTTAAATAATAATAATTAAGACTTTTCCTATTTTGCAGCCCTTAAAATTTCCCTACCACATTTGAGAAAAAATCCTGCTTTTCTTGGAAAACTTACATATGATAATTTGTATCTCTGCTTTTATACATAAAGGAAGTGCCCCCCCTTAAAAAAATTGTTATTAAACATAAAACAAAATGTATAAAATTAATAATTCCAAAGAGAAGCGTTTCTCCTCTTCCAGGTAAATTTGGTGCAGTCTGGGCACACTGCTCCTTTGAAAGTTTTTTTACCATCTATCGATGTTTACATATGGGGTATTTATCTATTAAAATAGCGTTAACAAATCGATCACGATTTGTATTATTAATTAAATTCTGAAACAATTTTATGTATTTGTATAATGTTATTAATTTTAGCAGCTTGTTATGGTTTATTTTCAAACTTTTAAATATTAAAAACAGAATAAATATTTGATGAATCTCCAACATATTATAAAAGCAGCTTTGCTTTATTAGTGGCACCTGTACTCTTACGCTCTTGCTAAATTCAGTTGATACTAATGTTAAATAATACTGCGAGAAGACATAAATCGTATTGGCTTATTATCATGATAGTTTTTAAACTATCGGTTGAGCAAACTGTCTCCCTTCCGTCGATCTTATCGGTAGTGCCATCGATAGTTGGCCAGCTCTAGACGTTGGCATCCGCAGCTTGGATTGGCACAAAAGAGGGCAACAAATCAGCTATATTATTGCCAATAGGACCAAACCCAGTGGCTCGAGGCACTTGCTCTGCTAGCAGGGGATCTCTGAAAATGCGCCGCCAGCGTGTGTGCGACCGCCGACTCCTGTAATCTTCTATGTGATAACTTCTGGCGGCGAGGAGCGGGTTGGAGCGAAGCGGAGGGAATCGGAAAGCCAAGTGAAAACAGAACATCGGGGCGGCGGCGGCAACGTCAACGAACCTACGCAGTCCGGAAACTCAGTAGTCCGGTGACCACTTTCCCAAGAGCAATTGCAATCCCAAGCGGGACTCCAGTGGACAGGATGTGTGGCCTGGACGTGAGACGCTTCTTTGAGGAGTGGCGCATCTGGATACGCCCGCTGCTCATCGTCACCTATGTTATTTTCGCCATCATCGTGGTGCCGCTGCTCATCGTTAACTCCGTTAAAGATGGCTTCCAGCGCAATGATCAGCTCATCCTCATTGGCGGCCTGTTTGTGCTGTCTGCAGTGCCCGTTTCCATATGGCACATCATCCAACACGTCATCCATTTCACCAAGCCCATACTGCAGAAGCACATAATCCGCATATTGTGGATGGTGCCCATTTACGCCCTGAATGCGGTAAGTGGGTCATCGTCATCGCCGTTGTAATCGAAGACCACAAGAAACCTAATACTCTCTGTGTTCACCTGCAGTGGATCGGCCTCTTCTTTCCGAAGCACTCCATCTACGTGGACTCGCTGCGCGAATGCTACGAGGCGTACGTCATTTACAACTTCATGGTGTACCTGCTCAACTACTTGAATCTCGGCATGGATCTGGAGGCCACCATGGAGTACAAGCCGCAGGTGCCGCACTTCTTTCCGCTCTGCTGCATGCGGCCGTGGGTGATGGGCCGTGAGTTCATCCACAACTGCAAGCACGGCATCCTCCAGTACACGGTGGTCCGGCCCATTACCACCTTCATCTCTGTGTGAGTGTCGGGAGTGTCCTTTCTGCTTAGTACCCAATGCTAATTCGGAATTCCGTAGCATCTGCGAGCTGTGCGGCGTCTACGGTGAGGGCGAGTTCGCCGGCAACGTGGCTTTCCCCTACATTGTGGTCGTCAACAACATTTCCCAGTTTGTGGCCATGTACTGTCTGGTTTTATTCTACCGTGCTAATAAGGAGGACCTGAAACCCATGAAGCCCATTCCCAAGTTTCTGTGCATCAAAGCCGTGGTGTTCTTCTCGTTTTTGTAAGTGCTAGCTTACGGCTTTTGAGGAGCATCGTTCTTAAACATATCTTTCTACATCCACAGCCAAGGAGTGCTGCTTAATGTGCTGGTATATTATAACATAATCAAGGACATTTTCGGCTCAGATGTGGGCGACACGAATCTAGCATCCCTTTTACAGGTGAGTGATCTTATAGAACCTCTTTTCACTTTATCTTAAACATAGAATAAAAAGTATTTAAGTTCCGTAATACTTTTATATGAAAAGTAGTTTATCTTAATATGTAAGGCATTTCTTGCTTATGCCTAAAAATAAATGTAGATGACTACTAAGGGATGAATATAGTTCATGACTAATATTGATTATTAATCCATACTTTCTCTTTGATAAAGAAGAATATGCAAAACAGCCTTGCGACTTTAGTGAAAGTTGTTGTAAACCTATTAAAATAATCTTGTAATCGCCCACCAGAACTTCCTCATCTGCATTGAGATGTTCATCGCCGCCGTGGCCCACATCTACAGCTTCCCGCACAGCCCGTTCCACATCAACTCGCCGCAGTATTGGAACAACCCGGAGCACAGTTGGTGTCGCGCCTTCCTCTCCATGATGGACATCTCGGACATGCAGGAGGACGTCACCGAGCATCTGGGCGTCGTGGGAAGTTCGCTGAGTCGCCGCTTCCAGGGACGCAGCACGTACCAGCCTCTGGCGCGCAGTCCTCGTCGCTCCAGCAGTGAGTCCGAGTATCTGATCAGCAAGCGGCAGGATCAGCAGCTGCCGGGCAGTTCGTCGCAATCAGGTAACATGTATGGTGCAACTTCCAGTCGCCTGATCGTGCCCGTCTATGATGGCAAGCTGATAACACTGCCCGAAAACCAACCCACTCACTCCCAATCTCAATCTCGATTTCCTTTAGCAGGCGTGGTCGACGATGGCGCCAGTAGCAATAGCAACAACTACCAACAACAACAACTACACTTGCCGGGCGCGACGGGCTCCTCCCAGCTGTCGACTCGTCAGCGCGACACGCTGCATCTTCGCGAGCGCGAAAGGGATCCGGGTGCGGGTGCTGGCGGAGGTGGCCACTTCCTGCGCCTGCCGCCCGGTGCCGGAGCCGCTTCGGCTGCAGCGCCGATTCCCGAGTCCAACGACGACTATGCCCTGCTGTTGGGTGCGGGCGCGGGCAGGTGACACCGCTACCAACAGTATCACCACTACCAGCACCATCAGCACCCGCACATCGACGACGCCTTCGAGGATGAGGACGGCGTGGACGTGAGCCACCAGCTGAATGCCTCATCGCTCAGCGCCTCGCTGTCCGTTTCGTTTGGCATGTCGAGCAGTCTTAAGTTTAGTGCCACTGGCAGCAACCAGTCGGCGTCCGAGTGGTCCAACTCAACGGGCGGGGATGATGACGCTGACGACGACGATGACGTGGACGTGGGCGGTGAGGATGGGGAGGATGGAGACGGGGACGACGGTGCTGGCGAGCAGCCCGTTGTAGTTGTGGCCTCCACGACGCGGCGACGCCGCGATCGAGAGTACATCACCTAGACGCGCTGACCTTAAAACCTTTTTCAGTTATGTATGCGCCATGGCTGTATTTATTGTTTTCCCATATCTTTATTTGTGCTAGGCTTAGAATACTCATGAAACGAACCCTTTCTAGCGGCCCATTAAATGGGGCATTTGAATTGTGGCCTTAGTTTTCATCGCGAAAGCAGCTTTTTTATAATCGTTTTTCCTGATAGCGCACACAAAACAAATCCACACATCCCCTAGCCCAAAGAATCATCATTAAACATGTGCGAATTGGGGTCAGATATTTTGTATGTATGTACTTTTTATGTGCTGATTTTGTAAACCGACCTTCCCGAAACGATATTTTTACTCTATACATCCCCGCTAGGTGGTCCCGCATAGTTAGGTCTCGAACTTTTGTGTGGCTAAGTAGTTAATTGAAAAAAACATGCCTGAACCGATTGTGAATTTTGTGACTGCCGCCGGTCAGAAAAGGGCGTGACTTGTATTTAATTAGAAATTCTTATTGTAAAACTAATATACACATTTATAATATAAAATTGAAAAAATATTTGCAAACGCCTTTTATGTTTTTATCAATTCGTATTATTTACATGCTAATGCACCCATCTGCGTACTAACATTGCTTCTCATTCCATTTTTTGACACATTTGTAAGCCTTATCGTTATTTATACTTTGGGTTTTGTTGACGCAAATCGTATATGTGATAAGAAGTTTTAAAATTTGCTGTATCATTCATTCCCTATTAACATTCCCAGTTTTTTGTGTATAATTGACCTTGATTACTTTTTCTCTTTTTTATCTTACACCCCCTAGAAAAGATAAAATGCCAAATGATATTCTGTCGTGCTGATATGATATAGTCCAAATTCCAAGACAACAAAATAATCCAAGTCCCTTTTTTATTTGTAACATTTATTGAAATATTTGCTTAAGCACTTCGAATCCTATGTCTTTTCATAATACTTGCTTTCTTAACTTTGAACGAAGATACAGAACAAAACAGAAGACTTTAAAAATATGATTGACGAAAACGGAGACGATTTATGACATAGATATATAGATACAGAGTAGACCGAAGTACATATAAAGGCATTCACGGAATTCACGTTACGAACATAAATCAAATCGAATACTAAACGCTGATAATAGAATGAAAACAAGTAAACCGAATATCAATCAACATCAATTAAAAACAAATTCAGTCCAGTGATTACTTCTCGTGCTGCGTGCGCATAATTGTAGCGACTCCCAGTAAATTTCGTCGTGGGGAATGCCCCCAAAACGAAAGGCATTCCGATTGCTTTCAGCATACATATGTAGCGTACACGCAGCAGCAGCTGCGATCAATTGTTGTAGTTCTGCCTGCCGCCCAGCTCGAGAAGGTATCGATCCGGATGGTCCATCCAGTCGGCGGCCGTGAGCTTCACTGTCCGCTGTCGCTCGGCCTCCTTGATCTGCCACTTCTTGATGTCCAATTGCACTTCGCGTGATGTTTTGTCGCCGCAGCCCCAAACCTACGAAGGAGATCGAATATAGAAATGATGAGCAACGTGTAGTTCTTGTTGTTGGTTGACTGTTGTTGGGTAAGGAGAATCGTAGACTTAGTTTAAATGCATCGCTAGAGCACACCTGGCCCATATGAGGCACAGGTGTGCTGTTTTTAACAGCTTAGACTGGAGATTATGCCGTTTATATACGATATACGTCTATGAATTTTACACTACATACCATATATGCATATACACATATATAAATATACCCTGTTAAATAAGGCTTATTGTACATGAATGCGATTAAAGTAACGAGAAATATTCAAACAGTTGGTCGCTAGCCTATTCTGGTCTGAATGATTGATTAGCTATTTTTACTTTTTTAATAGTGGGTTTAAAATAAAGTTTAAAGAACATATCTTTACAAAACGCGGTGTTTCTAATTCCCTTCATAGGAATTCTGGTCCTAACCCACTGAATCAGATCCTTTTATAGTTATCTGATATTTTTAGTTATTTCAATACTGATTCCTCATAAGCAAATTCATTTTACCTCGATTGACGCAAGTCCTGCCGCTAATCCCTTGCAGTCCACATTCTCGAAATGCTCATCGACTGCTATAATGGGCTTGCGCGGATCGGCACCGGCACGTAATCCTTTCGGATAACCACGTATGCTGGTGTTAAGGTACAGAATGTTGGGCTTCTTCTCCAGTATCACAAACCTTTAAGGAATACCATTAGTAAGGATTCAAAAATTCCACAATATTTCTACCCACTTGGGCAGCAGCTGGATAACACAGCAACCCTCTCCGCCGACGAACAGATGGGTTTCCTTCCACTCACTGGGCGAGGCCACGCAGTACGTCTGCTCATCCTTGGTGTGCAGTAGGACGAGAGTGGGTCCCCGGTAGCCGAGGACGTGGTGCAGAAACCGATTGGCTCCCACGCCATGTTCGTTGGAGTCGTACAGCAGGGTCCAGTGCGAGGGCATCATCGACAGCTTCTCCTTGAAGATCTGAACGGCTGTTGAGGCGCTGATATTGTTGTTTCCTTTGCTGGCTGGGGGAGCCACCGTCTGTGGTTTGGAGTACAGCGGCGGCAGAGCTCCGGCCAGCAGCCAGGCCTGTGAGAGCGGCATCAGGGAGTCCATATCCCGTCCACCTCCTCCACTGTGGTCCGTGGTATCTGTGAAGGGATTGCGCTGTTCAAGCACAGGAGTTTGCAACTCGATTCCGCAGGACTGGTTCTGCAGCTCCAGGCCGCGATAGGCGGTGGACAGGGTGTGTACGCAGTACTTGTGCACCAGGAGTACCAGGCGCATCAGGTTCTGCTCGAACCAGCGGCAAACGTATCCCAGGCTCATACTGTCGTGGCACAGGAAAATGGACTTGGTCACCGATCCGAACGTGCGGTTGATGGCCGAGCACAGCACAGCGTTGCCCGAGTGCTGCATGGCAATGGTGTAACAGATGTGGAGCAGTCGCGTCACTCCCGTCTTATCGATTTGCTCCGGGTTGTCCTCCTGGGCGTACATCTTTATGTAGCACTCCAGCGTCTTGGCATCGTCCATTATGCCCAGGAAACGTTCGCATTGCTGCCGGAAGGCGACGGCGCCCAGATGCCTTGTGGTGGCCTTGGAGTTGGAGTGCATCAGGTTGAACAGCCGATGGCCCAGATCCGTGTATTGCGGAAAGACTTGTGACTGGCAAGAGGTAGAAGTAGTTGTTGTTGTTGTATGAGTGGGCAAGGTGTTATCAGTTAATTACTCACCACAAAGACATCTGCGACAATGCCATTAATTCCCAGTTTGGCCGACGTCTGTTCCCTGAGGATCTCGGCCAGCTTCTCGACCGGCACCAGCTGGGTGAGGTACTTCTCGGTGACATCCGCCCCGGAGGCGGACCTGGTCATCGAGCCCTGGGCCTGCTGCACCTTCAGGTTGTTGTGACTGCCGCCCACGTCAGAGCCCCCATTGTGGGAGTTGTGGGAGGCGTCGCTGGCCTTGTGCTGCTGCCTGTTCAGCTTCCCGCCCTCCAGGGGCGGCTCACTGGCGTCCGACTCGCCCTTGGAACTCGTGTTGCCCATTTTGCTGAAGATTTGGCGGATCCCACTTCGACGCAATTAGTTCTCGGCCAGTGGAAACGTACAACTAAAGGGCATAAAAAAGGCCAAACGCAGGTTTGCACTGGAAATGGCAATGGGGGGAACCAATTTGATTCGCAAGGCGCAACAGGTGCAGGAACGGGATCGTTTTGGCCAGAGAAACAACTGCGCCGCGTCGCGAAACCTGTTATGAAACACACAAATACAGCGCTAACAAATCAGGTAAATATATTTACATAATTAAACGCAAATTAAGCTTTGAAACGAGAAAATAAAAACAAACCAAGAAAGTGTGACCGTTCGGGAGTTGTAAAATAATGCCATTTCCAATGTGGCTTTAACAGACCACGGGAAACAACAACACAGACTGGAAAGAATGGTATGTATAAATGCATCGATTATGTGATACCCTCTACTCTCCTATAATAAAATGAGTCATCATGTTTTTCGCAATAAATGCAGATACATTTTAAAATGACTTCACCTGTTAATAAGAATCTATAACAAATACACCTCGGTAAATAAATAAATGCTAGAAAATGAACTATTTTGGAAATTATTATTCAGATTCATTTAAAATTATTGGTACATTTTGGTGTATTATTAAAATTTGCAATTTAATGCGTTGCTGAACATTTTTGTATAATTGTACAACATTAATGCTTTTGTAAACACCTTATAATTCGCAATATGGTTGGAAAGGTAATGTTCATAACATGACATACCTACCGCCAAAAAAATATACCCTACTTAGTTCGCTAGTAAAGGGTGCAAAACGTAAATAAAAACAGAAGCAAATGGTGGCTCCAGCTAGTAATCTCCAAAATAACGCTAATTCCGACGAAGATGAGGGCCTGCGGGCGGCGCCCACTTCCATGCTGGTGCTGGACGCCAAGCGGAAGAGCGCCTTCCTGCCGTATCGCCCCCAGACCACCGTGCTGACCAACCTGCAGCGCGGCAACACGGAGGCCACCTTCTGTCCCGTCGAAGTTTCGCTCTCCTTCCACGAACGAGCGGGCCAGGGTGAGATCACCGAGGAGCAGGTGGCAGCGGAACGGGCACGTACTCAGGACATTGACCACAAGGACAGTCATGGATTCACAGCTCTGCATTGGGCAGCCTCATACGGGCAGCTGGTTTCCGTGCAGCTCCTCGTCGCTGCAGGCGCCAATGTGAACACCATGGCCCCAGATCTGGTCAGTCCTTTGCTCCTGGCCTCAGCCGGCGGGCACAATGAGATCGTCCGTTTTCTGCTGGATCACGGCGCGGATTCCGGTCACATGGACATCGTTGGGAGCACGGCGCTCATGTACGCAGCAGCCGGCAATCATCCGCACACCTGCAACGAACTGCTGGCCAGGGACCTGGATCTCAGTGCCACCAACGAGGATGGGGACACGGCCTACTCTCTGGCCGTGGATCATGGCGCTCACCTGGCCCAGGCTCTCCTGGAGCAGTATATGACGGCCATCATTACGGCGGGAGCATTTGGTAGCATTTAATTGGGGTAGATTTAAGGTTTTCATTGGGTTTCTTATAATGTCTGCTAAACAATGGCTCAAGCAATTGTTTTTAAATCTATTATCCAAGAACTTTTTGTTTTTATAAAATCTAGATGTTTTTAGATACAATATCTCTACGAGAGACTAATGTTTTACTAGAAACGATTTTAAGGACAATTTTTAATCATACCCTTGTGAAATTTGTAAAAGCCTTTTTATAAAACACACATTTTAAAACTCAAACATTTTATTCTTGCTCTTGCGCGTTTGCTGTTCCTTGCTCAGGCTGCGTTCCTGTGCCTGCAGCGTGTTCAATTCCTGTTTGTGGTTTTGCAGCTGCACTTGCAGTCGTTTCTGGAGCTGTGCATCTCCAGAATTCCGGTCCAGGGACTGCTTAACCTTGGCCATGTCCCGCTGCTTGCGCCGGATTTCATCAGCTACTCTTACGGATTCCACGTTGAGGGTTTTCGTTGAGTGCTGCTGCAGTTCGTTGGTCTTGGCCTTCTTGGCCACCTGCTCGCCCTGCTGGCTGTTCTCTCCAGGACCCAGGACACTGGCGTTTAGAAATGTAAAAACATCCGTGCGTTGCGTCTCCCGGACGTAAGCCTTCTCATCTGCCTTTCGCTGACGACGCTGGGCACGCTTCAGCTTTCGCTCCACGCTGAAATAGTCCTTGTCCCCATTGGCGGCCTCACGCAGCTCCATGCAGGCATCCAAGGATCGACCCTGGGGAAGTATCTGGGCGCTCACAGGGGTTACAATGCCTCTGCCATCTGAGCCAAGACCCGTGCCATGAATGTAGCCCATTTTCTCCATGAGCTTGGAGCCGATGCCCTGTGGAAATGGTGTTTAAAGTAACATACGTAGCTGAATTTGACTTTGCTACACTACTTGCCCTTGTGAACTCCTCCCAGGCGCCCAACCGTTCCGTCGGCTTGAAGGTAAACAAACTCAACTCCACCATGCGGGCTCTCCTGGCCTCCTCCAGATCGTCCATTTCCGAGTCGCCATCATCACTGCTGTCGTCGTTCAAACTAGAGTTACTGTCATCGCTGGAGAGCTCGTCATCCTCGTCTTGATCGGTGGTTAGTGGATATAGCTCTTCGAACTTAAAGTCCCGTTCCCGCTCCTTGTGATCCTGGCCATCTAAGCGCACGCGGCACACCTGCTCTACGAAATTTACACAAAGGACACGCCCGCGGTGCCACAGACGATCTGCCAGAAGGGCAAACACTGGGCGGCTACGGGCCAGTTTATGGAAATCGGGTGGATTGTATTTTCTAATGGAGCTACCGGGGACCAAGGCGCCATGGGAGAAGCGACACCGCGTCTCATCAAAGCGGCACTCTCCCTCGAGGTAGTAGGAACAAGGCAGCATTTCTCGATGCGTAGGGTTTGTAAAGAGCACCCTTAGTCGCGCGTCCAAGACGCCATCGCCGTTGATGACCACCTCGTCGTCCACTCCGCAGATGAGGGCATTGTGGTAGCAGGTGCCCCAACTGTGCTCGTGCGGTGCGGAGCACTTCTCGCCCACCATGGCTGTGTACTTGGCCCGCAATTCCGCCAGCTGCTGCTCCTCATCCGCCGCTGTATGTGTGGAGACCGCCCCTTCCAGGTCATTGAGTTCGCTTCTGAGCCGCTCCAGCTCATCGTCCAGGTGGTCCGCCTGCTGAGGTATTTCATCGGCTGGTGGTGGTACATCTTCTGACTCCCGGGTGAGAGCCAGCAGCTCCTGCAGATTCGTCTTTAGGGCCAAAAGTTCCTGGCGTTGCGGCTCATCCGTGGCATTTTCCAACGCCTGCTCCACAACGAGCAACTGTTTGGGGCAAGAATTGTCATAAAGGAAGTTGGGACCAAATTGGATCACCTTTGCTCACTTGTGCTTCGTATTCATCCATGTCTAATTTAATTAATTAATTAAATCATGATGAGACTTCCTAAGTTGGTGGTTTTCTGCAGACTTTTAAAAAAGATGCAAGCGAGTAAACAGGCACAGTGAAGGTTAAGGCTATAGTTCCTTTTTTATTTGTTTTTTTAAAATTTATATATCAACAAGAAAATGTTGCCTGATAATCCTAATGATTTATTTAAAAAAATATGAGTTTTAAAATAAAAAATTATTTATTTATATGTAAATACTTTAAATCTCTTAAAGTATTATGAATCGAAACTATCAGCATAGCCGCAACTTTCCTTACTGCGAAACATCTGGCATCACCGTCAGCTGTTTGCCTGCGACTTTTGCAACACTGACAAAACGCCGGTAAACTCGTGTGGCTTTCATTTGTTTTGATTTTTCGGTTACATATTATTAGCCGGATTTCAAAATGCAGTTTTCCCTGAATTACACAAGAAGCTTGGTGCCCCGGCTGCACCGTTTCACCAGCAAGATTGCCGTGGACGTGGAGCCAGCGGTGATCTCTGGACTGGAACAGGCCACCCTGAAACCCAGGAAACATCCGGGCGTATTGAGGCCCAATCATGTGGAGCTGCCCAAACAACTGAGTGATACTCTTAAGCGCATTGTGGGTGATCATCCCATAAAGAAACTAATCCATGACGGGCAGCAGCTCAACGCCTACATCAAATCCCGCCATCCGCCGCCCACGCAGGAGGAGGTCGAGAACAAGAAGAGGATCATCATTGAGGAGGTCAACTCGAAGATGCCGCTGGATCGCTTGGCCACGCTGGACGAGGAGGAGGCGGAGCGCTGGAGGCGCAAGCGTGAACAGGAGATCAACAAGCGGCTCGGTCAGCGCGTCTACGCCTGGAAGCGAATCGAGTACGGTCCATACGAGTCTATCGTCTATGCCATAGCTCGCGGTGCCCAGGAGTACGCAGTGATGAAGCGCATCCTCACCGAGCTGGCCCAGCGGGATGAGCAGTTCCGGCCGCGCAGCTTCTTTGATTTTGGCTCCGGCATCGGCACTGGCATGTGGGTGGCCAGTGAACTTTGGCGAGACCACATCTTCGAGTACTACAACGTGGACAGGTCCAGGGAGATGAACGAGATCTCTGAGCTCATTCTGCGGGATGGCCACGAGAACAAGCAGGTATCGCTGCGCAATGTGTTCTATCGACAGTTCCTGCCTGCCATCGAAACCAATTACGACCTGGTTATTATATCTCACACACTTTTTGAGTTGGTTGACAAGGAGCAGCGGGAGGACGTTTTGCGAAATCTGTGGCGCAAGTGCGATGGCTACATGGTCATAGTGGAGGAGGGAACGCGTCGGGGCAGCGAGCTGGTCAACGAGGCCAGGACATTTTTGTTGCAGCAGGATCAAGAAGGTCACACCGTGGCACCGGTAAGCTTCCAAGATAATCTTCAGCTTATTGGGTAATAAAGTAACTTATTTATGTCCTCAGTGCCCTCATGATGTGGTCTGTCCCCGTCTTCGAGATCTGGCGGATCGCACGCCCTGCAACTTCCCAGTATCCTTTGCTCCCCTGCGCTTGGGCAGCGACTCCTTGGCGGACCGCCACACCTCCCTGTACAGCTATGCCATCCTAAAGAAGGGTCCCCAAACCGATAGCTCCAGTTCCTGGCCGCGGATTGTGCGTCCCACCTTGGTGAGGTCAAAGCATGCCATCTGCCGGGTCTGCACGGAGGAGGGTAACCTACAAGAGGTCATCTTTACAAAGTCCAAGCACGGAAAGTGAGTAGAACGCCTGTTGCTTCTTTAAGGCCTCTAAAGCAATTCCATCTTCTTGCAGATCTGCTTATTCTTGTGCTAAGGTCAGTCGCTGGGGCGATCGCTTGCCCATGTCGTTGGGACAGCCGCAGGTCAATCCCAATCCAAATCCATCCAGCTCCACAGAATCATCCACCGCAGAACAACCCGTCTTGGCGTAGCTTTAGCTGTTAAATCAATAACTTAGGCATAAAGTCGCGCCCTGCGGCTAATTGATACTAAAAACTGGCATCCAATTAGTCGATTTAATTATGTGCAAACAAATCGTTGCGGGCGGAGCTGAAATTAATTAAATAGTTGCATTTAAATTAACCATACAATCCAAATGGCAGGGCCGCATGCTCATTGATACTAAATTTTGTTCAACGGCCAACACACCCTCACCTAGTTTTTAATGTATGGCAAGACAAAAGGCGGATGCGACTGCGGATGGGTTGGACCCGCCGTTTTGGATCAGCTTGGTTATGTAATGTCACCGGTATATAGGAGTCGTCGGCTGGCCAATGGTCAGCCATGTCAGCACGCCCCGAATGTATTTGTAGAGGGACACTCGGAAATGCCCTGGTGGCCATATGGGCTATGTCTTTAGTTTTTATGTTCTAATTAATAACACTTACTATTCAAATGGAATATGTTTTAAAATAAGTTATTTAAATCATGTTGTTATATTTTGAACTACATATTTTTAAAGATTAAACTGAGTACCATCTTTCAATTAGTGATAATAGATTCCTCACCCGAAATGTCTGGACTATATCTCCGTTTCGGAGGCCAATCCCACTTTGGCTGACATTTAGTTATGCCAGTTTCGTAGTCTTAATGGGAGACGCGCCCTTTTAACGACCGCAGATCATCCCCGCAGCTATTCATCGCTCCTTGAAGTCCTGTGCGGCAAAAAGGGCACAACGTGGTTGGAAAAGGGCAACATGTGGGGCGCAAAAAGTGGCACTCCGATGGGAAGGGGAGTGGGTGCGGAAGGACTACTTCCATGTACATCGGGGTTTTAGGGATTGGCTTTGGAACAAGGTGTGTTATAGAGCAACGGACCATGGATACATAACGATGGATAATACACACAGTAGGCGAAGGACTTGGTACTGTCCTGCGGGACTTTCCTGATTAAGGCTTACGCTTTTATATTAAATTTAATGTAGTACAACTCATTTGATATCTTTTCGCATATAACGTAATGTTTTTAGGAGTTCTAAATAAATTTGTAGCTTAAATTGGGTGCTATTCTTTTTTAAGCTACCTTTTAAACCTATTTTTGTTTAAAACTGATAAAATTCTGATATTATCTGCTCTTGATCAAAAAATATATATATATATATATAATAATTTTATTTACAAGTTTACAATGTGATATTGCCCACCATTATAAAGTTAAAATATATAACTTTTAATAGGTATCTGTCGGTCTGGATCAAACTTAAAAAAAATCGGAGCTGTGGTTTATTCTACTCGAGAGTAAATTATTGGATTCATTTACTAGAACCTAATATACTTTGTTTTTTTTTATTACCATACTTTAAACTACAGGTGTATATAAACTCCTCCTTGTTAAATGATCCCTTTATCCTTTTCAACTATATTCATAGATTTAGCCTGGGAAATGGGGTTTCGGGCTTTAAAACTGGGTTATCAGTAGGGATTTAATTCACCTCTTCCCCGCCAAATTTAATTAGGAAATGCATTTGCCAAGTCATTAACCCATTTATAGGTGCGTATAAATGACAGGATATATATATGACAGGATCCCACGAATCGTCTATGTGCCGGTCAAAGTCCAAGCCCAGTTCCTAAGCGAGTACACGTCATGGCGACCCTGGGGCATCTCCATCTCCGCTGCCATTTCTAGTGGCAGTTCCATCTGGGCTCTATGTAATCACTCCGGGTGATACCACATAGGTGGGGTCGCTGGTCGCTCGTTAAAAAGGCGCGTTCGCCGATGGTGTCAGCTGTCGCTCCGCTTCCATTTGGCTATTTGTATTAGTAAGGTGCGTCCCACAACAACTGCGACTAAATAATGGTGGCGTTTAGAAAGCATGCGCCGCTGTTGCAAGTGCTGCCAGTGGATAGTGGATAGTGGATAGTGGATAGTGGCTAGTGGCTAGAGACTAGTGGCTGGTGACCCACCCACCCATTCAGCCAGTCAGTCTGACAATCCAGTGCCAGTCGGCCAACCCCAACCGAGGCACTCAGCCAACCAGGCAGCCCGGCATTGTCAGCGCTTCCTTTTGTTCCGAACCCGAGCCACTCGGGTCTCTAGTTCTAATACGCTTTTACATAGTTAGGTTTTAGATAGGTAGATGGGCCGCCCGAGTCCGGGTTGATCACAAGTGGCTACCTAAAAACTGGCGCTGACTTTTGGCCATCAGTTCCATTCCGAGCGTGGCCGGGAAAAGTTGCGGTCGCGGTTCCAGTCCTACTAAATAGATTAAGTGATAGTGATATGGTGATTCATATATCCTTGCTGAACCCAAAAACCCTAGGCGGCATATTTCATTCGCGCCTGTATCTTGCTGAACCGTTACCATATTGGCCTAAGATCCGGTTGAGCAAAATTTCAGGTGTGTGAGAAATTTGTTAAGCTTTCATCGAGGAACTCAACAATTCTTATAGAGAAACAGCTTAGTGGGAATTTTTACTGGTAAGTGTTTAGGTGCATCTCGCAACATTTTTAAAGGCATCGTGGAGTTCATAGAATTTCTATAATCCTGAATTTTTAAAAGTTAGATAACATTTTCTGAAACGAAGGGATTTCGGTTGATCCTATGCTAAAATGTTCTTTTTGCAGTCATTTAAGTACGGCGTTATAAATTAGAATAACTTTAAAAGTGGCAGAAATATTTGACAAACTGAGAACCAATACTATATACCATAAAATCCAACAGACTAATCTTATAGTCAAAACTAATAGACTAATTAACACTTTACTAGAGATTGTGTTTTTGATAATTGTATCAAAATAATTTGAAAATTTAGTTTAGTCACTCATTTTTACAGCAGGTCAAAAAACAATACGCATTTGTTTTTGAAAACGGTTGATAAGATCCGTTATTATCTCAAATATTCTTGAGAGGGGGAACGGCAAAGTCTTTGAAATAATAAAAACTAGTTTCAAAATGTTATCAATTATAAAGAGAACTAAAACAAGGTTAGTAAAAATATGCCCCCCAGAAATAATAATTAGTCAAAGAATCACGCCATTAGTCACAACAAGTCATATTCAAATCATCAAAGCTGTGGAAATAAACCACTTCCGATGAGCCTGAGATTTTGTGAAATATCATGCCTAATCGCTCCACGGCACACGCGTTGTCCACGATTATCAGTTTGGGAGTCTCGGGCGCTACAGAGATTTATGGCACCAAAACTGGACAAATCGCCCACGACAAGACCTTTAAAGAAGCCCAGACAATTTGGACTTTGGCTTTATAGAATACATTCTTCTATACCAGTCATAACAGCTACAAACACACGCAAAGTGCATGATAAGTCATATCATATAGAAATCCTCAGAATTGGATCGAATTAGGAGTATGCGGGTGCAATGATATCAGTAAGAAACTCAACTAGGCCTAGTCAGATTAGCTTAAACTAGGAAATTAAGCGATTGCCTTGATTTATTCCCAGGAGTGTTGAGCTTCCAGGCGTCTTATTTACGATTTCCTATAGCTGTTATATGGCGCGAACGATCATAAATTGCAATCTTATCGTTTGCTTGGTGTTCGCCGGCGTGCAGATTGTAGATGTGGTCAATATTTAAACTTATCAAACACTTATGTAAATTGTTATTTATAGTATTGGATCGAGCTTCTCCAGTCATCGAGTATGTGCCACTTTATAGCTCCCCGGAACCAGCTTAGACCGAAGTTCAAGCCCAACCAGCTGGCGATCGCCAGTGGCACTTGATAAAGCCGTGACGTTTTGTAAGTTTCTACACTTTGCACTGTTCTCCATTATTAGCTTGGGAACATACAGCACTTACCATATCAATCGGCTTTTGTTTAGCTCGACTCGAAAACGGTCAAAGTCCGCCGGAGGATTGAATCATAGTGTCGGTGCGGGGTTCGTTTGATGGAGCAATTATTACGATAATGGCTAAATAAGCACTTATCAATGAAGTTAAATAACTAGGGGAATGACAAGGGGAACGGAGACGTGAGGGATGAAAAATTAAAACAAATGGAAAGTGAAAACACAATGATTCGGTTTAAAATTGGTCAAGGGAACTAACATTATTATAATTTACTATATGAAGGTATAGAATCTATACTATAGATAGAGGTAAGCATAGCATTAAGCGTAAAGTTAAAGTTAATATGTTGTAGATCTTAAGAACTTTATTCGTACTGGCATTGAATTCTACTGATTTCCCTTGGATATACGACGGCGCGGTACGTTAGTTTAGTCTTTAAGCTTATACCTTTTTAATGTAGAATTTTTACATGGGAAGTATTTTTGGGTATTTTCTGTGTTACCTACATTTGCCTTAACTCGTTTACCAGTTCAAACCAAATCATCACTTTTATATTATTTCGTTTTCAAAAGAAGACCCTATAATATCATCAGGAAAAAGAATGAGTTCCAATAACCTTGCTCTGGGAATTTTAATTAAGCGCAGGGACCAATGAACAGCGAACAAGGAAGCTAATCGGTGAAGTAACTCTGATTCACGAGCCAGCACAAAGAGCCTTAATAAGTAGAGTCGGCACATTGTAAATATATAGGCATTGTAAACTGGTCCGATAATGTAGTCCCTGGATAGAGCTCGCTATTGTTTCACTGTAGGTTGCCATTGGCACAGAATGAAATCCAAATGAAGAAAGAGCGACGGCGACGCGGGAATGTTTATTACGTATTACGTATACAACTTAATAGTCGCCTTAATATGGAGTGTCAAAGAAATTCGATATGTGGACTTGTGACCCGAGCACGATCCGTTGTCAACCGGGGCAATCGGGCCGAGATCGTGTTGCCAAAAACCCAAACCCAAACCCGAAACTCAATCAGCTGCCGCAGGTGAGTATCTGTGTGAGCCGCAGGTGAGCCGGTGTGCGTGAGCGGTTCGGTTCTTATCAGCGAAGGAAAACGACAATATAACAACGCCAAAACACTAATAACCAATGCAAAATATACGCCAGCAGAGACTGCCGAACGATCTTCGGAGCAGTGCTGCGAGTTTGGCTATTTTTACCTGAGAAATTAAAAAAACTCATCTAACCCGCACTATAAAGTATTCCACCCTGTAAAGAAAGTAAACCATTTCAAGGGCTGTTCCCAAGCCCAGTGATCATTAAACTACCATAATGTAGACTAATGCTTTAAGATTACTTTCATAGTTCGATCTTCATAGTAGTTATATTTTAACTACAAGTTGTGTGTTCCTAATTTTTTATCCTCTAGTTTAGTAACTTTTAAAATACCACATCCTTACAGCATAAAATATTATGATATAAAATAATATACCGATATAAAAACTAGAAATATAGAAAATACTAATAAAAAAAACGAGAGATTCAAAACTATAATATAAGTGACCATATATTTGAAATATAAAACCTAATGTTCTAACAGATCCATGAATAAGTAAGCACCTAGTTACCATATAAACAGGTTTGTGATGATGAGAAACATGATATGATGTGATTTAATAAACCTTTATAATAATAACTAATAATATTCCTAAGATTTTTGTACGACTTTTCAAGCTATTCCCCGCCAGAGATTGAAAACCCGCCACCTCTGAGCGCCTTCGATAAAGCCTGCGTTCCACACACACCCACTTGGGTGCTGAGATACTCAACTCACACCAGCTGAGACGGCCGATCGTGTTCTTTGTGGCCAGTGAGTCGTCAGCTGGGCCGACGAAGCGACTCTCCGACTTCTGGGGGAATGGGAATGGGAATCGGAACGGGAACTGCTACTGCCATATAGCCATACAGCATTATGGCATTATAGCACAGCCAGCGCGCAGCTAGCTGGGATCACTGTTTGTTTACTGACCGCCAGTCGCGCACGTCGCTTCGAAGACGCTGTTACTCGGTTGTGCGGATCGCGAATTCAGTCGCTGGAAAGTGGTTCTCCTTGCAATCCCAATCCAAAGTGTGATAATCCTGACTCTTGAAAGGGTAAGGACTCCCCCTGAGTGGACCAACGCGTTAAACAGTAACCCAAGAGAGGATACCAACTCATTTAATTAATATTTTAAATTAAATCTGAAAAACTGTCAAACCTTGTGTTTAATATTTACTTTTATAAATACTGGTTCAAAATATTCCGAGTGACAAAATAAAAATTTGGGAGTGATTATTATAATACTGTATCATTGATACACGATGAGTAACTAAACCAAAAGTGAAAGAAACCTAACGATGAAAGATATTTCATTGGAACCTGTACTTTTCTAAAAATGAAAACACTACAAAATATGTTTAAAAAATAAATGTCTAAAAATTGTAGGACTCACACTTTATTGATGTTATTATAATTTTTAAAAATATAACATTTAAATAAACGAATCTATAAAAATCCAAACATATATTCATACAAAGACTTAACAATTATTGAGGCAGACGTAGTAAAATGAATAGACGTTTCTAAGAAGCAATATTTATTGGCCAACACGTTATCAGTGAATTTAGATATAAACGCCCCGTCTTTGTTAACAAATGACATACGCATAAAACTCATTCGAACCGCATAAAGGCAAGTGTTAAATGAATCAATGATTCATGCTTCGGTTTGGTATCTGTCACAGTTTTGTATCTGGAATAGATTCAAGTGATACGGGTCGCTTGGGGTCACTTCCGTTAAAACGATCTCCAACCTGTAGAACTGCTTAATCGGCTTTTTGAGTTGTGAAATAATTTAAATCGATTAGCTGACAGTAAGTGTTGTCACAGTCGCATTAAAAATCAATGTGACAACACAAGCAGGGTTCAAAGATGGGCGGCGGGTGTTATTTCAGAATTATCACATTATCAGAGTGCAAACACAAATCTGTTCCCATCGATCGGGATGGCGTTGCTTCCGTTTCTCCCCCGATCTCCGATCGAACAGCTGCTGTTTTCGCTACCATCTCCCAGCTGCACCGCTTAAAATCCGATGGAGAAGGGGATCCGTGAACCGGTTTGTTCGGCCAGCGAGGCGGGGTATACAAGGTAGACAAAACAATGTTTCAGGGCAGCATCAGCACATAAGTGCTGTACCGCAGTGCCATATACAAACCATAAAGGCCGATCTAAGTCCCCGAAAGTCGCAGGCAAACACGAAATGTAAAGCCCTGGGTCGAACAAAGGAATCCAAGAAAAAAACTGCAAGTTCGACAAAACGTGACCATAGAGCTCTGGTATCAATCAATATTGAACTACAGGACCATCAACGTCACTCTCGGCTAGGGCCACTCCCTTCGTAACCCCGATCCCCCCGGGAATCCGGGGCATTGACATAGGCAATTGTGTTGGGCAGCCCTGATAACTGCTTTAAGTACAGGGTTCAAGTGCAGTTCTCAATAGCGAAGCCCCTACCTTTCCCAACTACTAAATGAAAAGCAGATCGGAAATGTCCCGGTTGGAAGTGCCCCGCCAAGAAATATGCCCAGATCGCGATAAGACTAGGGCTATATAATATAGTAATTGAATTTTACACATGGGAACATGCTGTTGTTTTGATTGCAAGTGATTTTCTGTAATCGGAAGATCTGTAGCACAAATACCTATGGTCATTTCCAAAAAGCAGGTATTACCCAAGCTTATAATATTAAATATGGTATTTAATCAAAACAGATTTACATTCTATAAAATTTCAACACAATCTCCTCCTGGCATTTTCATTAAACACCTATGGTATTATTCAATGACCGTACCCAACTCTAGCTTCAAGTATATTACTTCTTATTGAAATAATACAAATCAATCTCCTATAGGTCTCCCTAAAAAAGCTATTGTTATTTCAAAAAGAGTACTTGACCAGCACTTCAAGTACATATATTACGTGGTATTTATATATTTAATAAACACAGACTTACATTCTATAAAATTTCAACTCAATCTTGCTGGGATTATCTTTAACCAACCCATCTTTATAGCTAAAGCTTCGTCACCAGCAGAATCTACGACAACGGCTATTCCATTTGTTGGGATGGCATGGGATGGGACAATGCTTTTGTTTTGATCAGTTCGGATCGGAACGGATCGGATCGGCTGGGATCTGGGTTCGGCGGATCAATAGCAGATGTGCCAGCGTCAACATACACGATTGCCATTTAATTTCCACTCAATTGTGCGGTTTTATTGTTTGCCCGCCTCCACCGCCCCAACGGCTGTACCTTGATCTTTTCGCAAATCTGTGCATTAAATGTACTCGCATTTAATTGTCTCTTGCAGCAGTGCGAAATGTGGAGTAACGTAAACTGCGTGCTACATTTCGCTTATGTAAACTCGCTTTTAATTGGGACGGTTGCAGATAATTGAAATGTTTCATCACCCATCCAATTTGACAGCTCTTCGGGCAATCAAGAGCGTCATCAACTAGGGTTTAGTTGCTGTTTCCCTGTCATTCTAAGGGCTCTATAAATAAACAATCGCAGCCTGCCATCGGGAATAACCAATCCGAATGATGAGGTTAGGTGACAAAGGTTGATCGATCTGTCGATCAAAGTGCGAATTAAGCTGCATTGGAACCCGTTTTAATGGGCTAACATAAGCGATTTTCATTGGTCAGCAACAGGTTGCACTTAAGATTCCCAGATTTAGTCACGCATCTTGCACAATCCACGAAATCAATCAAACTGCAGACAAACCATCTTTCACTTTCCGTCGGTTAAATGGGGGTAAAAAAATATTAAATTAACAGATCTTTTGGATAATATTTTGCTTTAAAATTAAAAGTTTAACAATATTGATTTCCATGCCTGATGATTGATATAATTGAGATACGGAATAAATAAACAAGTGTTTAACCTGTTCAACAACATAGTGATTAATACATATTGTATTGAAATACACCTCCTAACTTTGTCGTTTTATAAAGTCTATGTATCTATTCGCTAGGCTTAAATGTATTTCAATTTAAATGTATTTCAAGATACAACTTTGCAAAATAATACCTTGTGGTTATTAAAAAATTGTTTTAAAATAATATTTATATTAGCTGATGGATTATTTGGTACCTTCTTTATAGAGTTTACCCCTAGAGTCCTAGAATGGCGACATCGCGGGAGCAATTCTTGTTCGGCAGCGACAACGGAGTTGCCGGCCTCGGTCTGGGCATTGAGATCGGGGAAGTGACCTCCGGTCGCGTCTACAACACCACCACTGTGCCTGTGACTAACTCTGGAGGATGGCGACATGCCCAGTCAAGTGTTACGCCCCCACCCATCCCCACCCCGCCCCAGGTGACCTATACCAATGGGTCGTCGGCCACTGCCAGTAAACAACCGCCATTGGAACCCGTGGAGGAGGAAGAGGTGCACTTCGACACCGATGCCCTGAACAACCTGCCAGCCCGCGAGCCCGTGGACATGGAGTTCAGGGATCTCTCCCTCACCGTGAAATTGGGCTTTAACCGAGGTGAGCTATGGGATCCACTTTGATCGCATGATCTAAGATATGGCTCGATAAGATTGGGAGCGGTATACTAAAATTAGCTAGGAGCTATGACCGTGTTCGGTTTTTATGTGTTTTACAACTAGCGGCTACTCTTGGTGCGGCTTTTTCAAAAAACCGACCTTATAAAGTTTATATCCTATAGTTAGGGACAACCCTCTAGATTATATCCTACAATATTCCTTTATAAACCAGTTTTATAGTTGAAATTATTTATATACCTTTCAATTGACTTATATAAATGAGTGTTATGAATTAAAGCTAATTTATAAATTTGGATGTTTGTAGATCAGAACAAAATGTTCTTCAAGGTTATTGCTTTCGGCAATGCTTCACATACCAATCAGCCATAAACACTTGCTTGCTAGTTCTTTTACCAACTTGGTTTTCCATTGATTAGATAAGCGGCGATCGCTCCGATCACACCCCCTTCCCGGTTGTATATATTCCGGCAGTGCGTGCCCATCATGGCCAGTTAGTCATTCATGAATTCCCTTTCCGCAGAGTCTACTCAATTAAAACTACTGCCTTCTTTATGAGGAAATAAATAGAGTATTTTCATTCGATATAAGTGTTTTGGACACGGCTTTCTGGCTAATTTCAAAGTTCAGAAGGAAGCGAACAGCAAATGATATCGACATTGGTTCGCCCCTGGTAACTTGATTAGGAAACAGGCTGATGACAATACAACTTTTCGCCCCGTAGCGGTAATTATACTAAAATAAAGATAATATGGGTGGTCAACGCGTTGGTAGATTGAAATCATGCCATTGCTATCAAAATGTTAAGGAAAGGACAAAGACCGTTTTAGTTTTATAAATCTTATAAGCCGAATCTCCTTAAAAAAATTATATGCTGTAAAGAGCTGTAGAATGTTGAATAGATTAAGTGCTAATATTAACCCAATAAGTGTATATCTTTCTAAACTGACACATGTACAATTTGGTGATTTTGCAACTGCCATTCTATAATAATAGTCTAGAAACCCTAATTTTTAGGACCCAAAGTTTTATGTTTACTTACATATATTCTTAAAATCTTTATCCAATGTTATCTTATTGCTTGTTTACTTCTTAATTAATTTTCGAAGGTTATTCACTCAAGCAGATTACATGCTGTAATAATAATGCTTTAATTGACGGCAATATGAGGGGTTAAATTTTATCGAGTCGTTACCTTTGTAGCCGTTTAATTGGGCCAAGTTATAGCCTGCACTTGATTCATGGAAAACATCGTTTGGGTGCACGTGTAGATACGGGTTTTCCATTGGTTCCCTGAACTTTGATACCAATGACCGTATAAAAAGCAGCGAAATATCTATCTAAAAGCTTATGACCGTTTATGATTGCGTTAAGTAATTTCGCATTTTTTTAGGATCCAAGGAAATCTTGCACAATGTATGCGGAAAGTTCCCCGGCAGCCAGCTCATCGCCATTATGGGACCTTCGGGTGCAGGAAAGTCCACTTTGCTGGATGCCCTTTCCGGTTTCAAAACAACCGGAGTGGATGGCTCCATCTTGCTCAATGGTCGACGACGTGACTTGCGTGAGTATATCAAGGAATCCCATTTGTTTTGAGATTTCTTTAATTATGATCCTTCTGCAGCCTCTTTCCGCCGCATGTCCTGCTATATCACGCAGGATGATCGCCTGCAGCCGCTGCTGACGGTGAACGAGAACATGCATATAGCCGCCGATCTTAAGCTGGGTCAGACCGTCAGTTATGAAGAGAAGGAGAGCAGGGTAAGTCTGGAAGAGCTCTTTAATATACTGCCATTGCAATGAATCCATAATCCCCTTCAGATCGAGGACATCCTGCTGCTCCTCGGCCTCTACGATCACGATCAGACCCTCACAATGCGCCTGTCCGGTGGTCAGAAGAAGAGGCTATCCATTGCCATGGAGCTGATCAACAACCCCACTGTGATGTTCCTGGACGAGCCTACAACGTAAGAGCAAATATTTTTAGTAGCCCAGCTAGAAAAATATACGTTTGAATTTTACTTTTCAGTGGCTTGGACAGTAGCTCGTGCACCAAGGTCCTGGAGCTGCTCAAGAAACTTACTAGCCAAGGTCGCACCATCATCTGCACAATCCATCAGCCCACTGCCAAGTTGTTCCAGATCTTCGACCAGGTGTACGTCCTGTCGGCTGGCAACTGCGTCTACCAGGGCAGTACCCAGAAACTAGTGCCATTCCTGCATTCGGTGGATCTGCCCTGTCCCATGTACCACAATCCAGCGGATTACAGTAAGTCCAACTAGATATATACTCTTGAAAGAACGGAGCACTTATCAAATCCTTAACATTCCAGTTATTGAGCTGGCCTGCGGAGAATATGGCTACGACAAGGTCGACACCCTTAAAGTTGCCACGGAAAACGGAAGCTGCCTCACTTGGTTCGATAATCCCAGTGCGGTGCTGCGCTCCGAGGTCCTGATGAGAAAGTATCCCATTCCAAAGAAAACCAAAAGCCGTTCGCTGGAGGACACCAGCTTTTCCAACCAGTGCTCTGTGCTTTTGCGACGCGGTTTCATCAAAGCGAAACGAGACACAACCATGACGCACTTGAGGATCGGTGTCAACATTGCGGTGGCCGCTCTGTTCGGAGCCATGTACGATCACACGGGACGAGAGGGATCTCGAGTGCTGGACAACTACAATTTGCTGTTTGCCATTCTAATGCACCATTCCATGACCACGATGATGTTGACTGTTTTGACTTGTGAGTTTACATAACTCTGTAAGGTTTACTTAAGATTAACTCATTTGAATTACCTCTAACCAGTCCCCATGGACATCTCCATACTGATCAAAGAGCATTTCAACCGTTGGTACTCGCTCAAAGCCTACTACACTGCCATGACACTTGTGGATCTGCCCATATCTGTAAGTATCCCTTGTGATTTCGCTCGATTTCCTCGGCCAATTTGAGTTTTCCGTTTACAGATCATAAGTTGCTTCCTCTTTACGGTAATCGTTTACTTATGGAGTTATCAGCCTATGGAGTGGGTCCGCTTCTGGATGTTCTTCGCCATCAGTATACTGACTGTTTTTGTCGGCCATAGTTTTGGTTTGATGATTGGCGCCTGGTTCGATGTCGTCAACGGCACTTTCCTAGCTCCCGTGCTGACCATTCCCATGATGATGTTCGCCGGCTTTGGAGTCACCCTGCGGGATCTGCCAGGCTACTTAAGATGGGGCAGTCATATATCATACTTAAGATATGGGCTAGAGGGCTTCATAGCATCCATCTATGGATTGGATCGAGGAGTCCTGGCCTGCGAGGAGGCGGCCTACTGTCATTACAGGTAGTTATTTTCAAAAAGTGTCGTTTTTCCATATATTAAAGAATCGTCTGTTCTCAGGTATCCAAAGAAATTTCTAGAGGAAATTACCATGCGAGGTGATCAGTTCTGGAACGACGTCATCGCGTTGGGATCCATGATTATTATTTTCCGACTGGTGTCCTACGTCGTGCTCAAGGCCAAGATCAAGTCGATTCGATAGGCCCGTTGGGGTAGACACACCTTTAGCCCATTCCTTGTATTATACATTAATTGTTGAACATTATGTTTAGTGCTATTAATATTTAAAAAATATGTACAAGTACATAAAACACTGTTAAATAAAGCTACGATTTGTAACTAGCCTAGAAAGCCACTCTGGCCTCGTTATCACAAAGTTCAGTTGCTCAGGCCTTGGGCAACCTCGGATTCCACACCCCCATCTGCTGCTGGCTTCAGGAGCTGGTGCAGTTCCCTCGCACTTTTGGCCATTTCCGTGGAGTTCAGCTGAAATCAGACTTTGTGTTAAATTCTGTTTCTGTTTTCGAATAATCTTAAGGTACTTACCACAACTACCTTTTGGCCAAGGGATTCCAGCAGTCTCTTCTTCAAGCGCATCAAAGATGTGGGTTTTTTGCTGAACTTTAGGGTCTGTTCTGCGGTGAGTAGTTCTACGAAGTACACACTCTGCTGGCTGCCCATTGTCTGTACTCGTAAGCTTGGCAAATTTATTCCAACGATGGGACACACCAAGTCCACGCCTTCCACTTCAGCGTCCTCACTGAGCTCCTGGGCATATTTCGTCAAGTCTGGGCGATCCCTCAGCAAATAGGTTGGTGCACGATCGAACTCCTTGAAGGCTTGTTTTGTTTTCAGTTTTGCAAAGGATGTCTGCTCAATGGCTACAGCAGATTGCAGGACATTCAAACGACTGTCCACCTTGGGTTGAGCTCGCTGACGTCGTTGGGCAGCTTTCAGTTCTTCGGCTGCATTAATCAGATCCTTTGAGTAGTGTCCCAGTGTGCAAAGAGAGAGGCAGGTGTCAACAAGGTTGTCCGGGAAATAGTCGTACTCCCCGTGATCCAATTTTCGAAGGGCAGCCAGCTCCAGTTGCCTGACTTGCTCTGGAGATAAATCACAATTCAGTTGTGCGCTAGCCCACAGGAATGTGGCCAAGTCCTTGGCGCGCAGGTCCCCAGGTTTCAGCAATGTCATATATCGATCTACGACGACAGCTAGGCAATCCTTCTGATCCCAGAGCTGTTCGGCAAAGAAGGCGAAGATGTGGGCCAATCCTCGGGGCTCGATGAGGGTTAACTTTGCGGGATCCAGGCAGATGTCTTGTACATGCTGACACACCCGCTCGTCCTTGACTCGCTGCAACCGCAAGCTCTTGACAAAGGAGACCAACAATGCGTCGCTCCCGGCAGTGAGTTGTAAATTCAATACGGCATTAACGAGGGATGATTCATAGGCACTTCTCGCCTCCCCCGTAACCAAAGTGGAGGTTTTGTAGGCCGCATTGCTGATCACAGCGAGATCAAGTTCACTCAACGCGGGCAAATGGCTGGGTAAATGCTGCTCGAGGAACTGCTGGAAGTCATCAGAGGAATTGGCCTGCTTCTTCTGCAGTCCCAGATAGAAGCACACCTGGACGAACCGCTCCTTGTTGTCCCGGAAGTCCTCCTGGACCAAGCGCTGCATGGCTGCCTGATAGAAGTCCGTCCGCTTCAGCCAGCCGGGTATGAGGAACAAAAAGGAGTACAGGGTCTCAAGCACAGTGCCGGTTTCCATCTTTGCCAGCTGCTTTGCTGCATGGTTATCCAACCCGTTTATGGCGGTCACGTACATGGGCACAGCGGCATTGGAGCGATAGCTGGAGGCCTGGATGATCAGGGCCGGCAGTTGTGCTGGATCTAATTTTTGCACGGTCCGCTGGAAGTACCGGTCGTCCGTGATGGGGAAGAAGTCGGAGTACCGGACCGTCGTCTTGGGCAGCACGTGATTTGGATCCCTGTGCCTCTCCAGCGCAATGTGCTTGGCGAAGCGGGTGATCAGGGTGCCGGTCTCCTCGGCGGTGGTCCGCATCACATCCCTGGGCGTGAAGGAGGCGTAGCATCTGAGGGGACTGCCCAAGTTGGTGACCCCGGCAAAGCGGCGGAGCAGGGCGTACATCTTGGATGCACTTCTTCTGAATTTATGTAATGAATTTACAAAACAACGTGCACATCCAAATCGCAAACTTACGTTAGAGCTGCCGCGCTTAACAGCACTGCCAAATTTCCCTTGTAAGGTGGAGTGTTGATAAATGTCCGAAGTAGCTAGAAAGGGAAATTATTTAGTTTTTGTTAAATAAAGCTAGCTTAACATTCAAATCTATTAGTAAACTAATACTGTTGGAGTACTAGCAGCTATGTTATTATTATTCTCAAGACATGAAATATGTATAAACATCCAAACTTAAAAATATAAACTTAACGGGAAATAACTAAGCCGGCATCACTTTTTCTGGTGATTTTTCAGCACTGGCTAAACACCTGTTTCGATAAATTAGCAGCAACAAAATGAAGAAAGCGGCTGGATTTGTTATTTTTCGCCGGCTTTGCGGGGAAATACAATACCTTTTGCTGAAGGCCTCCTACGGCTCCTTCCACTGGAGTTCGCCAAAGGGCCATGTGGATCCCGGCGAGGACGACTACACCACAGCTCTGCGGGAAACAAAAGAGGAAGCCGGGCAAGTGCTCACCGTATTCTTTTCGTGACAATCTTAATATCCGCAGTACACCCACAGTTACGAGGAGAAGGACCTGATCATCTACAAGGACACGCCGCTGACACTGAACTACGTGGTGCAGGGGAAGCCCAAGATTGTGATTTACTGGCTGGCGGAGCTGCGCAATCCCTGCCAGGAGCCCATTCTCTCCGAGGAGCACACCGACCTCAAGTGGCTACCCAAGGATGCGGCCAAGGCGTGCGTGGGCTTCAAGGATAACCAGGACATGATAGACCGCTTCCACCAAATGATTTTAGATCAAAACAAACCGGTATAGATTGTAAACAAGAAAGTAGCGTCGTTGCGTTGCGCAACACTGAAATGTAAATAAATACCAGGGAAAATACCACAGCACATACTTGCGAAAATACCAAAATTATGTCAGCCTGTGAGCGTTGCGCACACTGTTTTCAAGGCATCTGTGAAAATTGCTCGAATCGAAATTTATAATCGCTTCCCCATTGATTTTATTGTGGCAGCCGATTTGGAGCACTCCGCCTAGCCCTAGTCTGAACCAACCACCACAAATCCCAGCGTCATGGGCTCCCGTTCACGCACTCCCAGTCCGTCGGGCAAGCGACGCCACCACAAGAGCAAGCACAAAAAACGCAGTAAGTCCCACCACGACCACGAGCGGCCCAGCACCCGGACGGATAGAGACAAATCCTCGGAGGTGAACAACCATGGGCGCCACCGCGAGCGGGACAGGGATCGCGAGCGGGACAGACACCGCAGTGACCGACACACGGAGCGCGACTACCGCCACTCGCCCACGATCCTCAAGTCCCGGAAGCGCTCCACATCGTCGAGCAGCGACAGCCAGTACTCCGAGCAGGAGTCGCAGCGCAGCAAACAGAAACGCAGCCGCTTCAAGAAGCTGGACGAGGTAAGTGGACGAACCATGGTGGACCATCTTGAGCCCTGCATTAGTATGCCCTAAACTGGTCATCCACACTATCCCTAAACTTTATTGGTTAAGCCTTAGGTTTTTCAGTCTAAGTTCCATTCCCTCCAATAAATCTTAATGGCAACCATTTTCCAGGAAAAACCTATTCACGCGCCAAAGTGGTACTATCCTTCCATCAGGTTCTAGTGAATTCCTATAGAACTCGCGCCAAATTCTTATTTGTAAGATGTCAGTAGATACATTCTTTCCATAAAGTCAATGTTTCAGTTGATTTCTAAAGAATTCGCGCCGAAATTTTGTTGATCATTTTGGTGTATTCTTTATAATGATTAATAAAACCCATGAATGTTAAATATAATATTGGACGCTCGTGCAGGGCTCTTGGCACCCCCTCGATAAGATATAAAATAAATTGTTGCTCTTTCTTACAGCAAAACCTGCTGCAGGTCGAACGCCTGGCCGAGATGGAGCGGCAGCGGCGGGCCAAAGAGGTCGAACAGAAGACCATCGAGGAGGAGGCCGCCAAGCGCATCGAGATGCTGGTGAAGAAGCGCGTCGAGGAGGAGCTTGAGAAGCGGCGCGACGAGATCGAGCAGGAGGTCAATCGACGCGTCGAGACCGCTAAGGCCGAGATGGAACGCGAAATGATGCTGGAGCTGGAGCGGCGGCGCGAGCAGATACGCGAAGAAGAACGCCGGCGCGAGGTAGGTGCTCGTATTCAGATTCCGCTGGACGACTGCTGCTATCACTGTCAGAAAAACGTACACAATGCCACATCTACCGTACACTCGATAAAACCCAAAACAGCAGTTCAAACAGTCGTCTCCACCACGTCATGCGAAATCGATCCGGCGGCGCTCTTAACCACGGCTCACTGGGCGTTCGACCATCATCAACCCATGTCCCATCAGCATCCCCGTACTAGATTGCTTGCATAACCCCATGGCCAAGGGCGCCCACTAACCGGCTACATCACTAACCACACACGCCTTTTCAGAGCCCCCACCACATGAAGCCAGCCACCAAGGCACCGAGGCGCCCAGTGAGCCGGGATGAGAACGCCGCGACTGATTTCGCCCCCTTTCTTCTTGCCAATAATTTTGTAATTTTTATTTTTCCTACCAAAAAAGCCAAAATGACGACATTGCCAAGTGTCGCATGTGTCACAGTTTTGATGTCCATTATTGCAGACCTCTCTTGCATACTCTTAGCTTCATCTTTTTTTCGTTTCTACCCACATACTGTATCATTTTAATTTCTGGTATTGGTTCTTGTAACTCGTTGTTGTTGTTATTGCGCGCCAACTTCGCTTCAGTAGGCCTGTGCAACGAACGTGTGCTGCTCTTGTCCCGACTGCCAGTGGGTGTTTTGTGGCCCCCATCCGCAAAACACTCGCGTGCACTTCTCGTTGAACCGCCATGCCGGAAGTTGACCGAGCCCGCACTGCCAAGGGTTTGGTCCATGGACGCACTTCCTCCACACCCATAACATTCATAAAAAAAGATATCAATTCGAATTGGTGTCCCTGAGTTAGTCCGGGTAGTTAGGCTCTCTCTAGTTGTGGGGCGGGCCGACTGAGTTTAGTCCCAACAGTACGCTGCATGCAAACCAAATCAATGCCATTGAATCATTGAATGACGGGTGAGTTTCCTACGCCAGCGATGTGATAAGCCAGCAGCCGTAAGGATGACTTGTGATCGGCGAAAGGACGCCACAGAGACCCAAAGACTCACCCCCAAGTGTTTAGCTCGATAGAACTCTGTCTGTAAGATTTTTATAAAACCGGATTCGCATTTGGATTCTTGACCGTACCGATTGCCAATTATTTGTGTTTGAGCTTTTTGTTTTTGCGAGCAAATTACGTACGTCTGGAATAGCGAGAGAAAAACCTCCACAAAACATAAACCCAAATCGAAAATCTGCAAAAAAAATCCTATAAATTAACACAAATTTAGCCTTTGTACTGGAATAATGACCTATTTAAATAGTAAGTAGCAACAATAAAAAAAAAAACAAAAAAAAATCAAATGAAGACCAACCATTTAGCAAATACTAGTACATTTGTTTATGTTGTGTGCTCCTTTATTGTAATAAACTAAAAGAACAACCTACTTTAAACATTCTTAATAGACACTACTAAATGTTTTACTTTCTACCGAAATATTCTTTGTAACTTATTGTTAAACATAAAACTAGATTCTAACTGCCTTTGCAGCTCATCAAGCAAAAAACTGCAACCACAAACGTGCGTCGAATTCGTCGCACAGTTTGCATCGCTGATGTCAAGAGACTGTTTATTTATATCTTAGCTCTAAGCTTCCGGCTAAAGAGTCGACTTGCTTTATTAATCGTCCTTTTGTTTGGGTTTTATAGGAGGATGAAAAACAGAAACGCGAAGAGCTCGAAGAAATTTTGGCCGAAAACAATCGCAAAATCGAAGAGGCGCAAAGAAAACTGGTTAGTATACTTTAATAATTATTTTCTTAGATTGTTTTCCTAAATGATTTTGTATTTTTATAGGCCGAAGAACGGTTAGCAATAATTGAGGAACAGCGCCTTATGGACGAGGAGCGGCAACGCATGCGCAAGGAGCAGGAGAAGCGCGTTAAGGAGGAGCAGAAGGTCATATTAGGCAAAAACAATTCCAGGCCCAAGCTTTCGTTCTCCCTGAAACCGGGAGCATTATGAGATGCGTAGGCATTAGTCCGGTGCCCGTCGCACCATTTCTTGTTAACAGCTTTTGCTTTTTTTTTACCTCAGCGGCTTGCTTTTCTGCCTGCGCCCAGGACCATCCACTCGTTTTCATTGTTGTCATTGTGTTCTATATTATTTTATTAGTTTAAGGACGAGCGATGGTGCTAGGGGCAGGCAAGGCGAAGCCAATAGATTCAAAGTTTTTTCAAAATTGCCAATTACTGAACATATACGGCTCTATATAGTACAATACGCTAGCGATTTACTTAACCTTTTCTACATCAAGAATTCATATGTGAGACAAATGATTATGTGTAGTGCGTCGTATTGTTGTCACAGCTGAACAATTAACAAAAAACCAAAAAGAGATGATGTCAGTGAAATACATATGTAATCTATTTGCAATTTTTTGATATTTCAAGAAAACATATAACGCAACTGAAATCAATAATAAAAACTTTAGAAATGCCAACAAGGGAATTCGATTATTTGTCAATCATAAAGCTATTACTTAAGAAACTTCGAGTGGAGTACCATTCGCTTAGCATATTTGACAGAATTGCCAAAACATACGTGCACTTTTTAGTCTGCTCTTGTATCGGACACGATCTACGCCGGTGTACATGTCGCTAAGTAGACACAACTTATTATTTATAGAGACTACTTTAATTTATATGTCTTGTCGCTGATTGGGTTGGGCGACGCTGGACAGCGAACGACAGCCGGCACGCCCGCGCGGAGCATGGAAATGGAGCCTGGGATTGGGAGGAGGGCCGCAGCCGGAGGAACCACACCGATCTGTCCAAGTGCGTGAGCAGGCGGCAGCCAAGCCAAATTGGTCCGCAACCACTCAGAGTCAGAGTCAAACCACTCTTACATATCGTAATGTGGTTCTAAATGAATGTGGCGCAAGATACGAGTACGCATACGCACCGGAGCACCCCATTCCACCTGACCCCCACCCCACTTGACCAGCTTATTACTTCATATCGAATTTGGCAACGAGTTTGGAGCCTTTGTCGCACTGATTTGTGTGCGGAGCACATGCGTGAAAGGCGAAGGCGACGGCACCGCCACCTGACCAGCCCAGACCCAGATCCAGATCGAGATCGAGATCCAGATCCATAGCAGCGATCTTGGGCGGCACACGGGCGGATGTTGCAATTTGATTAATTAATTATGTGGAAAATCGGCAAAGCTCTTAACGTTTCTCGCTTTTTGTCGATCGACAGATCTGCGAATGTCAACGTGCAATTTGTTTGATGTGACGGCGATAAGCCGATTCCCCTGCTCCTGTAGCCATTCAATATGTCAGGCAACTTGTCTGGTGATTAATTTTAGGTACCATTGATGGGAATGTCTGGGAAATAGTAATATAAGATTTAAAGGATTTCCTCCTTATCCTTTTATTTCCGTTTTCTCGTAAAATTGGGGCTTTAGTCCAGAAAATTTATGGAAATTTAGGACCTAATTTAACATAGGGACTAGAAAATGGGTCTTAATATTTAAGATGATTATTTCCATAAATTTTGGAGGCTCTTAGAAAATCTAGGAATGGATTTCTACAACAAATGCGATTTCAATTATTTTAATTGTCATTCCTGAGTTCAATATATATGTACAAAGAAGCTCTGGGATTTAAGGAAACCCAGGTTTAGGCAATAAACAAGATTTTTCACATTATACCTATCAATCCATAGCTAAATTATGAATTTTAATATTTGACCACATTTAGATGTTAAATATTTCCTTTCCCAAAACATAATTTCTAATTTTATTATACAAGTTTGTAATAGTACTGTTGACAACCTATTAATAATTATTAATTGTTTCGCACTCAATTAAAAACCTCCCTTAACTTTCACTTGTTTTTGGCACACTATCAAGGTTTGGGTAGTGTTAGACTTATAGGAATCGTTTGATAATCCAGAGACAAGAGCTTACCATGGCTACATTGTTGCAGAAATTGGAGCAGTGTATATGTTTTATTGCCAGAGCTCAAGATTTGCCGAAAAATGAAATAAAAGTATAATAACAATTTTGCATTAGCTGGATTCCGGTTCGCTGGGTGATCGTAGATCGGTTTTGGGGAGTGTAGTGCTCGGTTTTGGTGTGGGTTATATGGAGTGTGTGGTGCGTGCGCTTGGAGCGTGGCACCCATCAAGAGATCTGGGTGGTGGGGCCGGGCCAGGGAGCACTGCTTTGACTATAAAAGTTGCGATCGCGACACTTGGAGACATAGTTCAGTGCAGGAGCCGCAGCAGCCACCAACCAAGTCAGCAAATCCACCAAATCCCAAGCCAAGTCCAAGCCAAAATGTTCGCTGTAAGTGCAAAAGGATACTAGGATAGCTCCTAAAAATGGATACAAAATCGTATATTTTAAAAAATTATGCAAAATACAATTTTAAAGAATTCTAATGTGAATTATATCATTGATCAAAGTGAACAAAAAAAGTGATTAGCCTTGCTTAAACTTGTATTAAAACCAGATTGTTAAAGTGCATTAAAAAATATTTTAAATTTTCCATTAAACTAATCTAAAAAAATTATGTTTGCTCATAATAACTAAAGTATTAAATATTAAAATAAATTATGTATAGCTCATATTGTTGTGGTTTTCACATTCCAAAACATTACACCATCTCCAAGGTTTAAAATTAAAATTAAATTTCAGAAGACAGTATTTTTTAATATTAATAAACATATTACTTAATCCAAAGATTGTATTATATTTTATATATTATTTTTTATACTTTCCAGCTCGTTTCACTCTTCATCCTGGGCGTTGGAGCCGCCGCCGCCATCGAGCTGCCGATCAGCCCCATTTACCACTCACCCGCCCTGGTGAAGCCCCTGCTGAAGACCATCGAAGTGGAGGCACCTGCCCACTACGACTTCGCCTACTCGGTGCACGACGAGCACACCGGCGACATCAAGAGCCAGACGGAGTCCCGGAAGGGCGACCAGGTCCAGGGACAGTACACCCTGGTGGACGCCGATGGCTATCTGCGCACCGTGGACTACACCTCGGATGCCCACAACGGCTTCAACGCGGTGGTGCGTCGCGATCCCCTGGGCCAAAAGGTGATCAAGGCCGCGCCCATTGCCAAGCTCCTGGCCCCCGGCCCCTTGCCCCTGGCCTACGGGGCCCCCAAGCTCCTCGCCCCCGCCAAACTGCCCCTCGGCCTCTACCACTAAGCTCTGGGCAGGATTGATCGAGAGAGATAGCAAACACTGACTTCATCGCATCGACGACGACCCATCCGCATCCGCATCTGTGTATCTGTATCTGAACTATTGCTCAACTACCCAGACACCTCGTATCATATCATACTTCCTCTGTTCCTTTCCTCTTTTCCTCTTCTCTGATATCTCTACTAAGACTTTTCGGCACCCAGTCATTAAAAGCGCCATAACTCGATGGCTGGAGAGCCCCTATCTCATCTGTGTAATACTATGTGTAAATAGAAGGCAATAAATGCATTTTTAGAAAACATAAATTGAGATATTTTGAACCTGGAATTTGGGTGTACTTAAATCATTCAATCTTATAAGAGATACATATTATATTATTGAGTTGCTTTTCAAAAGAATTAGTTTGTATAAAATATCATCATGGGTTTTTAGAAGTATGGTTATCTGTTTTTGTAACAGATCAGTTAGATAGCTAATATAGTATGTATCGCACAGTCAATTCTCTTTTTGTTTATAGTAAAATATAGATCCATTATCCAAGTCAATATAAAATGAACAGCCTTTAGATTTTATTCTAAGAATACACGCCTTTCCATCATAGTTTCATAAGTTAAGTTAGCCATATCGTATCCGGTCAGCAGGTTAGGTTCTTTATCACTTCCTCAAGAACCCATCTCAATAGCGAGAAATGGGTTCCCGACGAACTTGAGCATTGAAGCCCAGTAGCGGATCGGCGGTATAGTCCACAATGCGCCGGTGACCATCGGGTTCAATGAGGGAATAGCGACCCGTAACATATTCGCCCCGTCGGTGCTCGAATTGGTCCTTAACGTCGCCAGTGTGGCTGTCGTGGACCGAGTAGTGGAACTCGTACTGGGCAGGACTGGCAATCAGTTCATCTGGATGGCTGGCAATAATCCCAGCCTGAACAGCGCTCAGGATCAGGCAGAAGACGATGCTAGAATGCTACAAAGGAGATTGAGATATAATACGATATATAAGGTCCTCACTTACCAAGACATTCATTGTGAAAAACTAGAAGATGCAAGTGGAGCAATGGTGAGCACTCGACTGATGACTAAGAGTTGGACGCAGACCTCTTTTATAAGCCGCCGTTTGGCCCATTGTCGCAGTGGCCAACTTACGAAGGGCTGAAATCTAATATATCACGCACAGTACCCAAACCTTATGCAACCCATTTGCCAATACCTCGCCCATGGGGGAAATGAAACCAAATCCCTGCACTTGCCGCCAACTTTTGCAATCGATTCAAAACTCACTCGGATTATATTATCGTATAGTAGCTTAAAGTACAACTTACACTCGAGACTCAAGTTCGTAGAGGCTACTTTACACAATAGTTTGTTTAGCTTAGTGGTATCACAGCAATAACATTATATCGAGACTAGACTAGCTCCACACGCCGATTCGATGAGTCCATGGCTCCGTGGCTGGGTGATTTGGACTTGGATTCAGTTCGAAAAAAACGCAGATCCACACAGGCACTTATATTAACTCCATTCTGTTTCAGGTACAACGGCATTTCGCAAGTCGATCTTCTCAGAACTTATTCTCCAGCAATGATCCTGGGAATACAACATAGTAGAAACTAAAACTCCAGGTCGACTTTTCAAGCGGTGCTCTTCGAATTTACACTACCATTCGGTAAAGGGTGATTGCTAGGTAACTACTTTTTGTGGATTGAATTGGAGTGGAGTGCTCTCGACTTCTACGCTTGATGACTACCCAAAACCAAGTTACCGTTCTCGGCCACCATCCAAGCAGTTAGCTTCTCATCCTCCGTCTTGTTGGACTCATCCCAGGGGAAACTGGCTGCCACGGCGTGTTTCTCCTTCTGAGTGTTTGGAGCTCTGAAAGAATTCAGATCTATTATTTAGAATTTATAAAACTTAAGGGTATTCTTAATACGATATGTATATTGTTAAAGTAGTTATTATATTCTTTAAGCCCTAAACAAAGTGTATTTCGTAATAATTATCTAATTTTGGTGTCTTATCTATATAGAAGTGTATAAAGTAAGAAAAGAAAACTATTTTTGATAATGAAGGACTAATCTTAGATCTATGTATTCTACTAGAAAACTGTGTAAGTAGAGACAGGCAAATTAAAAGTGCTCGACTACAGAAGGGGAAATTCTTGATCGTCAAGTCCTTCCCCCTTATATGTACATACGATGATATGATATGATATGGTGTTCTAAGAGTCTCTACGGCTACTTGAAACATATTTACAGCTCAATGGCGAATGTTGGTTTTTACCTTATGGGCCAAAAGCGACATTCTTCATCAATTGAGGGGGAGGACGAGGAGGAGTTATCACTTGGGGCACCCACACAAAGTGTTCAATGTTCAAAGATCAATGAGAAGCAAACACAAAACACACAAAACGATGACAGGACAGAGACAGCATGAGAAACAGAAAGAGAGAGAGAGAGGGGAGAAAGGAGAGAGACAGAGTACAATGTAGAGAGAGACAGGATGCAGGGATCATGATCATGAGGATGCAGGGAAGCACGGTCAAGGTCATATGTAAGTATATGTACAGGGCATGCAGGCCAACGGGGATGTCCTCCGCTTCAAGGACACCCCACCCACTTACAGCGAGTCCGCGTGGCTGCCGTTGTTCACCTCCAGACTGCTCTGGGTGGCCTTCTTCCGCAATCCCGGCCTGGGCAGGAAGCTCTCCCCGAAGAGATCCCTTTCCCGGTCCCGCTCCCGCTCCCGGTGGCCCCCGGTCGACGTCTTCCCGCTCTTGGCCTGCTGCGTGGGCGGCACTGTGTGCGGATACTTCCCGTCGCTATCGGAGTCCATGGACAACTGGCCAAAGAGGTCCTCCAGCAGGATGTTGGCCTTGGCATTGCGCTGTCGCTTGGCGGAAGTTTTCAGCTTGGAGCTGCGTGGGGGAGAGATGGAGAGACACACGGTGAGGTGGCACAGGCACATGATCAGTTGGGTGCAGTGCAGCAACGAAACAAAGCTTGGTGCCAGGATTGCACAACACTGAGAAAAAAATGTCTTGGGATACACTTAAACAATTCCTTGATCCCATGAAAAAGATGATAAGTAAAATCTTCATTCAATCTTCCCTAACTCGAATTTTATCTGACTAGAAAAAATCATAGTGGCAATATCGTTTAGAGAAAATAATTTTTAGACATAATTCTGACTAATTTTGTTGAACTTCTCTAACTCAAATTTTGTAGATACATATTGAAACTTAAAAAAAAATTGTTACTTATTTAAAGTATCTTTAATTCTGACTAATTTTGTTTAACTTCTCTAACTCAAATTTTGTAGACACCTGGTAAAACCTTAAAAAATATATTTCTAACCCAAAGTATCTTTAATTTGAATATTTGGAAGATTGAAATGTATAATATTAAAACTTGGTAATGCATTTATTTGGAACTTTAAAAAAGTCTATGAAATTTAAAGACATTTAAATTATAAATTCCCTTAAAAGCATTTTTTTTTCTTGTTTCTACTCAAAATGAAACTTTTATGTACAGGAACGATACGAAAAAACATTGGGAACTTCGAAAAAAAATTAAAATATTTATAATTAAATAATTTAAATCTAAAGTGGTAGATCCCACAGACAATGCTCAATGATAAACAATTTTTGATGAGTTTACTTTGCAATCAGACTTGGATGAAAAACAAAGGCGATGTTTAAAGTGCAAATTTGATCTATACCCTCCTCCCAACTCACCCTAATATCAGATCCAGATCGTCGGACTTCAGAGCACCCATCTTGGAGTCCTGGGCCGCAGCTCGCGATCTTCCCGAGAGTCGCATGGGCATGGGAGGCACTGCCTCCGGCTGCAGCTGCACTTGCGGCTGTCGCACAATGAGGCTGGGCGGAGCCTGGCTGGCACTGACCTTGGAGAACACGTTGTACACTTTGGCCTCGGGACCGAGGAGCGATGGCCTGGCCACCGGCACATAGTAGCCACCATTGGAGGCGCCCACCACGATCTTGGCATTGTTCTTGGCATTCATGTTGGCCGTGTCGTAGCTGAGGTGGCTCCCATTGACGTAGATGGCGCCGGCATTCCGGGACATGGTCGAGCTGAAGGAGACATTGGGATGATGGGCCTGCTGCTGCTGGTGGAGCTGCGATCCCGCTGGCAATCCGAAGAGCTGCGAGATGTTGCGGTTCAGGTAGATGTCGTTGATGGACTCCCCACCTCCTCCTCCGTTTTGGAGCTGTGGCATCTGCACACCATCCACTGTGGCTCCACCCAGACTGGAGGAATCCGCCTGAGAGCCCGCACCCACCAACTCATTGCTGGTCAGGAAGCTCAGCTTGGGCTGGTACTTCCTGGGCATTCCCATTCCATTTTTGGTGCTCGTCAAGTTATTGTTCTTGCCAAGATTGGAGTGGCTACCGTTGTTGTTGTTGTTCTGGTGGAGCAGCTCCGTGACCGCCTGCAGCTTCTCCTGCACCGGAAGCACATTGTTGGAGACACTCTGTCCATTGGACGCCGCATACTTGGAGCTCAGCCGCACATTTGCCTTGGTGGCCGCCGTGGGCGAGATCCTTTTGAGGGCATGGAAATACGGGTACTTGAGACTCTGCTGGGCCGTCGGACGCTTGTCGGGATCGTAGGCCAGCATGTCCTCCAGCAGGTCCAATCCATTTTGGCTGCAGCGGCTGACGACGCTGCTTAGTGGCACTTTGATGCAGTCCGGGTAGCGGAAGTGGATCATGCTGGCCAGCCGATATCCATCCGGCCAATCACTCTGTGGATGAAAAGGAATCTTAAGACTTATAAGATCTCCGAGAGATGGTCTCTCTCACCTTCTCTGGCGTTCCCAGCACGGAGCAGATCTTGAAGAGCTGGTCCACCTCGCTGCTGCCCGGGAAGAGGGGACGAAAGGTGTAGAGCTCGGCCATGATGCAGCCCATGGCCCAGAGGTCGATGGTGCTGCCATAGTTGGTGGAGTGCAGGAGTACCTCTGGTGCCCGGTACCAACGTGTGGAGACGTAGTCCGTGAACGGAGGCCGCGATCGGATCTCCCTGGCCAGCCCGAAGTCGGCTATCTTGATGAGCTCCGGCCCGGAGCAGAGCAGGTTCTCCGGCTTCAGGTCGCGATGGAAAAAGCCGTGGCGATGCATGAAGGCCAGGCCAGTTAAAACCTGCAAAAACAGTTGGTAAATAGGGTTTCATTTCATTTCACTCCAAAAAAGTCCCACATGGGTCTTATAGACCCTAAGCAAATGCAAAATATCTTGGGATTTTAAAATAGGATTGTGTCTTAAAAATACATGATCAAAGATCATAGATACGATTTGTACTTCTTGTTATTATGCATACTTTCTTATGTTAACCGCGAATTCTTTAGAACAAAGTCAAAAAGCATGGTTATTGTTGATTTTAATATTCGAATTTTAATAATTACGGCCCTTGGAGTATTAAATTCGTGACGGTTCCTTTATAGAGTGTTAGCCCATCGAAGTATGATCTTCGCATGTGTAATTACATCTCAGCCTGAGACTCTTAGGTTCCCCCACGAAAATCCTTTTTCTTAATACTTATACGGACTAACTTAAAATAAATCCGGCTCACCTGGAAGAGAATGCTCTTTAGCTCCGGCTCGGGTAGATGTGTGTCCCTATCCTTGATCATCTGGTAGAGGTTCTCCTTCATGTACTCGAACACAAAGTACAGGGTGTCGTTCTCCCGAATCACCTCTTTCAGCTTGACGATATTCGGATGCGACAGTTTTTTCAGGGACTATATCAAAATAAGAGTTACTGATATTAGTAGATCCATAAATTTGAGGATCTGAGCCTGAACCCACCTTGACCTCACGCAGATTCATGGCCTCCTCCCAGGAGTAGTACTTGCGCTTCATGCGCTTGATGGCCACCTTCTCGCCGGTGTCCTTGCGCTGTCCCAGGACCACGGTGCCGTAGGTTCCATCGCCCAATTGGGTCAGCGTGATGTAGCGATTCATGCTTAAGCGGATGGGGGCAGCTCTTCACACATTCTCCGGATGCAACTGTATAGACAATCAAAGGTAAGTTCGAGACACACGCCATTTGAGGGGGTACTTAAGGGTCCTTAATAACTTATGAGTCCCGCCCTCGTGTGCGGACTTCAAGGGAATCACAGTTGAATTAAATGAATCGAGTTGAATCGAATCCAACTTGGGCATGACGTGTGTCTCCATTTTTGGAAGCCAGCTCGTTTAATTGAAATCAATATATCGATCTCGAACAGCCGGCTAAGAACTTGACCAAATTTATTTAACCCAAAAACGAATTCCCCATCAGGGTCACAAGGTGTCATGAGGGAAGAGAAAAGAAGACAACCACCCAAGCATGATTTATGATTGTTAATTAGAACCGATTCAGATAACAAGCAATGGGTATTCTATTGTATTGACTACAAGTTGATTTTTATAATAATACTAATATTATATAATAATATTATATTATACTAAGATCTTAAAACTACCACATTCTCAAAAGCAATAAGTTAGAACTTAACTTGTGGCGGTGGTCAAATTTAACAAATAACAATTTGTATTCCTAATGCGTTTCTAATCAATTTATTTCTGATTATTTACACTTATAAAGGTGGGCTGAAGAAGAATGTCTTTCAATCGCTAAGAGATGGCTATTAAGGTTGTACTACTTCTATTTCTTACGTGGGCGGGGGGAAGATACTCCTTTGGGCTAGGAGGTCCCTAATAAAATATTTATAAACTGATGTTTATGTTTTTCGTTGTCTTTTTATTTACGTGAAATAATAATAAAGAAAGCAAGCCCCAAATAATTAAAAATACGTCAAAAAAAAATCTAAGGCTAAACGCTACTAATTCTGAAACTTTATCCCGTCACAGTTTTCAAAGCATCACATTTGCACATTATACGCTGAATACCAATTAATTTCATATTTTTAAAATGGAGCCATAATGTTCTTAATAACCGTTAAGTGTTGCTAATCCCAAGATATAAGAGCTGCAAGATCGAACGTATTCTTTATTCTTAAAAATATGGCTCTGAAGTTTGTGCTACTTTGTATATTGGCCCATCATGGAAGATTTTCTTTTGGACTAGGAGGTCCTTAAAAAGTCCTGATTTTTGTTTTAAAATGTTACCACTATTACATATTTGTGGTTTGAAGGTATTCCTTCGGCATCAAGAGTAAAACAATAAAAACATGATATTGTATTAAACAAAGTATATCGTGATTCATTATATTCGTATTCCCTTATACACAGTGATAGCCCTCACAAAAAGGTGGACATTGCAACCCCTTACAAAAATGTAGAAGGGAGTTTTTCAACTGCATTGACTATGAGATATGAAGAATTTTCTTCTTCTATAAGAATAAGAAATCAATATGTTACGCATATTTTCGGCTCCGTAAAACCTATACGGATTTTGTTTATCAGACTTTGTCCAAGTTTTTTGATGTTTTCAATAATACCTTGGAACTGGCAACTTTATTTGCCACTCAAGTCGTTATAGTCATGTGTCGTAATTGGTTTTTGGTCACTTTGCGAATTTAGTTCCTTGGGCGATAATTTATTCATAGTATACGAACCGTTCCCACCTACTAAATCCCATCTAGGTGTATATATGTAGACGGATTGTTTTGGTTTGCAATTTTGGGGGAGGGGGTCACGTTTCGACCTGGCTTTTTCTTGAATCCTGCGCCACAGCCTTGAACCACTCACATTTGACTCACTTAAACTCTTGGCACGCACATCCGACGCCCGATTAGCCGATTACTATATCCTATATGCGCTCCTATATCCGATAAGCGACTATGCGACTTTTCGCACCATGTACAAACAAATAAACAAACTTAAATGTTCGGGGTCACTTTATCGATTGAACTAGGGGTTGACAAAAAGTCCCCTCATTCTTCTATTCCTTTCTTTGAACTATCACGTAGAAGATGATGAAATAGAACCTTTGATATCACTCGTACCTTAAATGCAAGTGCATTTGTATCCGAAACAGCTTGATTTAAGGTGTGATTCCGAATTATATGGGATTTATGGCTGCTCCCGATGCGGATATCCTGAGCGAACGTAGTTTATTTGATAAGCAAGCACTAACAACTGACGGGTGCGATATCCACAACAACGCGACGACCCAAGCAACCGCAGCCCTAAGTAGACCACCCTTCGAATCCGGGAGAGAAAGCTAAATGCTAGAGAGCCGAAGGTCCGCCAGCCGGCTCCACTGGTTCCCGAAGTCTTCTCTTCGAGGGTGGAACACGAACGATGGTTGCTAGGCAGGGCCATGTTTTTTGGGTTGCCCCTGACAACCTCGATTCCGTTTGGAGACCATGCGGTTTGGGATATATATCCTAGATATCTTATGATAACCAACCGCAATGGATGAGCCGGTCAGCAGTCAGCCAGGTGAGAATGCCGGAGAGGAGGGGGCGGAGGAGGATGAGGAGCCCTTGATGGGCTTTCTCGAGGAGATCAACTGTCCGGAACCGGGCATCATAGATCGAAGCATGATCGAAACCGCCTATCTGGAGGAGGGCCAAAAAGGCGAGGCCAGACGACTCCACCAACTGGAACCAGTGGTCTATGATCGGATTACCACCATGCGATTGGAATTCAAGAGTAAGTAATCTGGGAAAAGTAATCCTATGTCATTTTATAGACCTTTCTCTTAGACATCCTAAGGATTGACCACCTCTGGATGATGCCCAATCTTACTAAGCTGTGCCTAAACTGCAACAAGATTGAAGTCATCGAGCACCTCGAAATGCTAACTGCTCTTAAAGATCTCAATCTCAGCTTTAACTATATTACAAGGATTGAGAACCTGGAAACTCTGGTCAATCTGGAGAAGCTGTCCCTGTTTAGCAATCGAATCCAAAAAATCGAGAACATACAGACTTTGGAAAACCTGGTTATCCTCAGCATTGGAAATAATCTCATCGACACGGTGGAAGGGGTAGGTTCTATTCCTTATATACTAAAACATTTTTATGTAGACATCTATAAGTGACACTTTATTTGTTCGGAACTAAATGGGAATAAGCCTTTTCAATTGACAATTTATCATTCAAATTTCAGATTGAACGTTTACGTTTTGTGAGCACCTTGAAAGTCCTAAATCTGGAGGGTAATCCCATAGCCAAACTGCCGGATTTTCCGTTGTCCCTCTATGTGACAGCCATCCTACCCCAGTTGAACTACTACGAATACGTTTTCATCAAGTCGGAAACTCGGGAAGAAGCCCAAAAACGTTTCTAGTAAGAGATCTCTTCATCATAAGATTATACCAAATACCTACTTATTAAATATCCATTATTATTAGTCGCGAATTGCGGGAAATCGAGGACAAACAGGAGCGCGAGATCCAGGGTCTGGAAACGGAGGCTCGTGAAATGGCCGAGGCGGACCGGCTGGCCTCCAGCTTCGTGGAGCATCTGGATGGTCAGCAACTGTACGATTCCCTGTGGCGAGACGATGAGGATGGGCGCATCCTGATGTTGGTGGGGCCACCGGCTCAGGAGCTCTGCGAGGAGTACTCCAAGGATGTGTACGATCTCACCCAGCAAATCTATCGCTTGGGATTGGAGCGGTTTGGTGAGCGTGACGAGGAGATTCGCGACTTCAATACCAACCTGCATGAGGGTCAGGAGGAGCTGCAGTCCCAGGGGCAAAGGCAGATCGAGGAGTTCCTCCAGTACAAGGAGCGAACTTTCGACGAGATGCGTCTGAAGTGGAGGGAGCTGGATCAAAGGGACGAAGGCTTGGAGGAGCTGCAAACCCAGTTGGATAATCTCAATGCCCAGTTTCAAGATGCCCTGCACGAGATGTGGCAAAGTCTGATGGCCCAGGAGCTCCATCTGCATGAGGCTGTTGAGGTGAACTAATCGGGAATACCTTTGGTTAGCTTTTATAACCCATACCATCTTATTTTTAGGACTCCACCCTAAACTTCGATCGCAAGATCTCCGAACTGATGGCCAGCTTTGTGGAGCAGGCCCAGGTGATCTTTCAGCAGCTAAGGGATCTCTGCACTCATTTTGCCGACAACATGACGGAGATTGTCACCCAGTTCATCTCCATCAAGCTCTCTCGCCATGAACTGAATGCCATTCCTAAGGAGCTGAGGAAGTGCGTGGATGATCGCGAGGCAGTTCTTCAGCTGGTGGAGGGCATGAGGACAACCCATAGCGCTCGGGTAGATGAGCGAGAGGATCGCATGGCTCAGCGGAGCAGGGACTTCATAGATGACATGATCACGAAGCTTAACAAGTAGGTTCCATTGATAAAGTTATTAGAGATATAAAGTAATATCTTTTTATCTCCTTACAGCAAAGAAGTAGACCGCCATCGTGCCAAGATCCTAGAGATCAACTCGTTTATGGAAATGATGACAGAGGCCTTGGCCAGCCTGCCAGAGGAACTGCACAAGGAAGCCTCTTCGGATTAACAATTTTAATACACATAAAAGCCCATATATAATAAATGCAATTCGTGATGATCACCTTTGTAGCTTTCAAAGCCCGCTATTTCTTCTTTTTAAGACCCTCGAGATGGGCGCACAGGCCCTCCTGGAAAAGTGGAGTGGTCACATAGTCGACGCACTCCTTCAGATCCCCGGCTCGATCCTTGAGCAGCTCTCGCACATCTGCTTCGCGGCACATTCGCTTGGTGAGACACCTGGCCACGGGATTCGCCTTATCGAAGGTGGCTATGAAGGCAGCGCATTTGGACAGGGCCTCCTCCTTGCTGCTCGAGACCTCGTCGACGAGTCCCACCTCCAGGGCCTCCTGAGTGGCGAAGAGCTTACCTTGGTTCAAAGCCCGCTCCACAATCCTGCGAGGCAGGACGCTTTGGTATGAGTTCATCATCCACTTGGAGATGACAAAACTGAAGCGGGTGGCATGGATTCCAATAAAGCGATTGGGGAGCATTACCCGGTACTCGCAGGCGGTGGCCAGGACACAGCCGGCGGCAGGAGCATGACCCTGAAAGGGAGATTATTATTTGTATAATAACATCAATTTCCAAAATTGGGCCTACATTGACGGCCGCTGCTGTGGGTATTCCACAAAGATGAAGGGCCAGCCACAGGTCCTGAAACCGTGTCCAAAATAACCTTAAACGCTCCACTTCCGGGTTTAAAAGCTCATTGAGATCAAGACCAGCGGAGAACACCTTGTCATTGCTCTGGAAAGTAAATACAACAAAATTAAATATCTTCGGGAAATACAGATCTATAAGTATCTTGGGGATTCCCAACCCACCGATGTCAGGATAAGACCACGGCTCTTGTTGCTCTCGATCTGATTGATGGAGTCGATAAGGTCGTGCATGAGGTCCATGGTCAAAGTGTTTACCGGCGGCAGGTTCATCGATAGGGTGGCGATTCCACTCTTATCATCCACCTCTATTGTGGTCAGCTTTGAGTTCGCTCCATTTGATAGGGATCTCAGGGATTGCCATCCGCTGAGGATAGGCCTTATCTTGTTGACTCCATCTACCAGCCTGTTACGCAACATTTTACAACGACTTTGGATTTGGAGCAGCAATCACGCACTGAGCGGCAGGCAGGAATTTAAACAAATTAACCTGTTTATCATATATTAAGTCGAGTTGCGAACCAAATAAAACAAACACTCAAGTCGAAACGATCAGCTGGTAGGCATTTCCAGGCACAGTTTATACGGCGCCGGCAATTCGAGATCAACAAGTGTTTATTGGGGTACCTAAAGAAACAAATCTGATATTTCCAAAAGGTTTTATATTTTAAAAATAACATATGTACATGGGTAAATAAGATTTCACCTCCACTGGATATTAAAAATGAAAAGGTCTTGTACTTTTGGTGAGCTTGTAGTTCTATTTTCTTTATTATTAACACTCAAATAATAATATTATCTACATAAGTGATAACAAATGTAAGCATTAATCTTGTACACACAACAAATCCAAGCACGCAGTTCAAATGTTTAACTTTAATTATCAAGATACATTTTAATTTTGTTTGACAAAATATGATATAATATGAGAGAGCTACTTATAGTTATAATTTTACCAAGTAGTTTTATGTTTGTATAGCAAAAATAATTTTATTTTTACATTTCTAATTTAAATGCAGGCTTGTGATTAGGACAAAAGTTATCATTATCTTAGTCTGTTTTCTTACTTCTTTCCCTTTTTCTTAAGATTTTCTAGGTAAGTACCCATATCCTTTTGTATCTCAGGCCTAGAAGCAAGGGCTATGAAATTCGCCACATCTTTTTCGCGTATCTTTTCAAACTCCTTAATATTATCCGCACGGAATTGAAGCTTGGTCAGTCCCCGGGCCAGAGGATTGACCTTAGCAAAGCTGCCAATGAAGGCGGAACATTTTTCCAGAGCCTCTTCCTTGGAATTGGCGATCTCATCGACCAGGCCCACCTCGAAAGCTTCCTGCGTGGTAAACATGCGTCCTTGGGTAAGGGCTCGCTCCGCCACCCTCTTGGGAAGTACGTTAAGAAATCCGGACATCAGCCACTTGGGGGCTATGATCCCCAGTTGGGTTTCGTTCAGGCCAATCCGGCAATCGGGCACCATCGCCCGATACTCACAGGCGGTGGCCAGGAGGCATCCTCCAGCGGGGGCGTGGCCCTAAAAGGTTATAAGATTATAAGTACTTATAAGATTATAGCCCGACAATCCAACTCACATTGATGGCTGCTGCCGTGGGCAAACTGGTTCCATAGAGGGCAATCCACGCGTTCTGCAGTTCCGTCCAAATAATTCGAAGTCGCTCCTCATTCGTATTATACATTTCATGGATGTCCAGCCCAGCTGAAAACACATTGGACATGGCCTGTGCATAATTAAAATATAATACAATAATTACATAATTTAATAACTAACTAAAGTGGGTCCAACTTACGGAGGTTAAAATTAGGCCCCGACTTTTGTTGTTCTCAATTTCTGCAATGGACTTCTGGAGGTCTACCAATAATTGGACGTTTTGGCTATTCACCGGAGGCCGGTTCATTGTTAGGGTGGCAATTCCGGTCTTATCGTTGACCTCCACTGTGGTCAACTTGGTGGCAGAGGACATACATCTTTTGGGACCCCCACGGGTCAGAAGTCTTAAGAGATTTGAGTGCAGCATCGTCCTTTGATATGTATCTATAGAAGACGACCTTTGTTCAGGTGTTTGTTTTAAAGCTAAACGAAGAGAAATTCTTTATATTTTCTTAATATTTTAAATATATTTTCATTATAATATTCAGTTCTACTACAAATTGTATTTATATATACCTACCTAGAAGATAATTTCACCAAATGTATTTTCAAAATTCTTATCTACTCAGCTGTTGAAGAACTACTGATCTCCCATGGAAACTTTCCAGTCCACGGTTATCACCTATCGAGCTGACCGGGAGTAAAATATCGAATATAATCAAATTTAAACGGCCATTTTAATAAAAAAACATATTTTCCACACTATATCAATACTTTTATCTTATGACAAATAGATTTAATAAAGGTTTAATAATAAACACCATATATAATATATATATATATACTGTATATGTTTCTAAACATAAAAAATGTTTTCTCCCTATTGTTGGTAGGCAACAACACCCATTTGTTATCATATCACTCACTACTCCACATCCCCAGAATGTCAAGTACTTAATATGATAACAAAAATAAATATAGATAACAAAATAGATATAACAAAAGATTATGTTTGTTTCATAAAACAATCAAATGAAATAAGTTAAGTTTTTCACAGTTCACTAAAGCTTTATTACTATTTAAAAAATTTATAAAATCATTTGCTTATTACTTCTTGGACTTCTTCTTCAAACCCTCGAGATAAATGCCCAGACCCTTCTGCACGGCTGGTTGGTTGACAAAGAACAGGAACTTCTCCAGATCGTCCTTCCGCTCGTTTTCCAGCTGCTGCAGGTCGGGAGCGCGGAATTGCTGCTTGGTCAGTGACCTAGCCAGCGGATTGACCTTGGCAAAGGTGCCAATGAAGGCGGTGCACTTCTCAATGGCCTCCTCCTTGCTGTTGGCAGTCTCATCGATGAGGCCCACCTTCAGGGCCTCCTCCGTGGTAAACATGCGTCCTTGATTAAGGGCGCGCTCAGCCTCCCTTTGTGGCAAAACACTCAGGAAGGAAGCCATGAACCACTTGGGGGCCACAATTCCCAGTTGGGTTTCATTCAGGCCGATTGTGAACTTTGGCAGCATGACCCTGTATTCGCAGGATGTCGCTAGCAAGCATCCGCCGGCAGGGGAGTGCCCCTAAGGATATAGAGAAGGTCTTTTAGAGGAGGATTTCTAGAGGGCTTTAAGGAACCCACATTGATGGCCGCTGCTGTGGGCACACTGCTGCCATAAAGTGCCAGCCACGTCTCCTGCAGCTGTGTCCAGAAGGCGCGAATCCTGTCCTTATCCGGCTTGTACATCTCCAGGATATCCAAACCAGCTGAGAATATTGTGGAGCTGGACTAAGGGTTCAATTTCTGGTTAATATACTGAAGCCACAGGTATTAAGATCTTACTTACCGAAGTGAGAATAAGACCGCGGCTTTTGTTGCCCTCGATTTCATCAATAGAGGTCTTGAGATCCTGCAGCAGTTCCAAGTTGAGTCCATTTACAGGTGGCCGGTTCATTGTAAGGGTGGCGATTCCGGTCTTGTCGTTGACCTCCACTGTGGTCAACTTGGTGGCAGTGGACATCAGTCGGTTGGACCCACTACGGGTCACCAGACTCAGGACTTTGGATCGCAGCATAATGATCTGAAATGGGAAAACGACGTAAACAACTGTGAATGACCTTTGGACGGATGCCGGTTTCTTATTTTGGGGGCTGCGTGGGAGGATTCCCACATGTCTGATTTAAACTCAAATTCATTTTAAAAACAATAAATTAAAGCTACAACTCTTTAAACTGATCGAGCTTTCTTTATTCACCTATTAATATAATTTAAACGGAGCACTTTTAACAATCAACTCAGCTGCTGCAGAACCTGTTGCGCTATCGATAGGCGGCGTAGGGGGTCCCAAACGGACAATCGCCTACCTCGAATTGGCAATACCCTAATTTTAGGAGAAATATAATAATGTTAGGAAAAGCATTTACTTTATTTTTCTTCAAAAATTATAAAAATGTAATTATAAATATTAATGCTATATTTAATATTATTAAAAATTTTAGGAAAACGTCGAACAAGCTAATAACAAAATTTTTTTTTTTCAATAATTATGTATTTATTTAACGACCATACGAAATAGGTTTTAAGTCTCAAAAATTAAAACTGCAAAGATTCTTCAATAATGCACTTTTACTTTTCATTCGCTGTGTTCTTAAAATCCCATTTGAATTTCTAACGGACTAGTATCGATATACGATAGCTGAGCTATCGCCAATAGACTGCCACTGACAGCCGCATTGCAACTCTGCGTTTTGACGTTTACACGTCACAATTCGTCGGCATTCTGCATTCGTGTCCACTCCACCTTACTCTTCGCTACTTTCTCTACGAAAATCCAACCGAAAATGGGTTCCGGCAAGCAACAGAAGGTCCAGTCCTCGGGCTTCACCAAGGAGGAGGAGCTGCTGCTGCAGGACTTCAGCCGCAACGTGAGCACCAAGTCGTCGGCGCTCTTCTACGGCAATGCCTTCATCGTGTCGGCTGTTCCAATCTGTGAGTACAAAGATAAAGTGACACGTTGTATGTTTTGAACACTTGGTGAATGAGAGCGTTTGCTCGTTGCAGGGCTCTTCTGGCGCATCCACAACATGGACCTGTGGCCCAGCTCCATCCTTTTCGTCCTGGTGACGGCGGCCAGCACCTATCTGATGGCCACCGCCTACAAGAACATCAAGTTCCAGCTGAAGCACAAGATCGCCGGAAGGCGCGAGGAGGCGGTGACCCGTGAGGTCAATCGCCAGGTGGGCGACGACAAGAAGGTTACGCGCAAGGAGAAGGACGAGCGCATCTTGTGGAAGAAGAACGAAGTGGCCGACTACGAAGCCACCACCTTCTCCATCTTCTACAACAACGCCATCTACCTGGCCGTGATCATTTTCATCAGCTTCTTCATCCTGAAGAACTCGACGCCATTCATCAACTACATCTTCTCTGTGGGCATCGCCAGCGGCGCCCTGGCGCTCTTCTCCACCAGCGCCCAGACGAACTAAGCGATAACGCCGCCATGTCATCCCATGTTCATGTACTCGTAATGTAAGGCCCTTCAAGAGATTTCCTGGGACAGTGGGCTGGTGTCCCCAACCCCTTCATCCGGCAGCCCCATCCCGTTGGCGTGTCCAGCAGTGCGAGCATAGAAATTTTATGGTATAAACACCAACTTTGTTGTCTTTCTTGTAGAAAGCTGATCAACTTCCATTCGCTGATGATTTAATAAATTGTAAAGTTAAAATATTTTCTTTATTACTATATGGGGAGTTTCAAAACGGAATTTATAGCACTAGTTTTTAAGTGTAAATGCAGGGTGAGTTCCAGTTTGGTTGTGGAGTTAGACAGCCTCGAGGAGAAGGGCGATTCCCTGACCACCACCAATGCAGGCGGATCCAATGCCGTACTTCAGCTTCTTGCGCCTGGGAAAACATCGGGAATGTATTACAATATGTTATAGATAGTATGAGCATTGGAAACTTACTGCAACTCGTGCACAAGGTGACCAGTGATGCGGGAGCCACTGGCGCCCAGAGGATGACCAAGAGCAATGGCACCGCCATTCACATTCAGCTTGGAGGGATCCAGTTTCAGGGTATCGGCGCAGGCCAATGTCTGGGCGGCAAAGGCTTCATTGATCTATAAACCTTATGGTTAACTCCCCATTTTGAATGTAAGTCCTAACCAACTCACCTCAATCAGATCAATATCCTCCAGTTTCTTGCCAGAGACCTTCAGGACATTCTGAATGGCAGGCACTGGTCCAATGCCCATGATCTCGGGCTTCACACCCACAAAGGAGAAGGCAACCAGACGGGCCAGAGGCTTCAAGTTGTACTCCTTAAGGGCCTCCTCCGAGGCCACGATCACAGCGGAGGCTCCATCACAGATGCCGGAGGCGGTACCGGCGGTCACTATGCCATTCTTCTTGAAGAGCGAGGGCAGCTTATTCAGACCCTCGAGGGTGGTCTTGGGGCGAGGGTGCTCGTCCACCACAAAGTCCACCTCCTTGCCCTTGACCTTCAGCTTAATGGGTGTGATCTCGGCATCGAAGGCTCCCTCCTTCTGTCCCTTCTCCCAGTTCTTCTGCGAGAGCAGGGCGAACTCATCCACGCGCTCCCTGGTGATATTGTACTGCTCGGCCAGATTCTCGGCGGTCAGCGCCATGGGCAGCTTGCAGTAGGTATCGGTGAGTCCAGCCCACAGGGCGTCCTCCAGGTTGTAGCTGGCGCCCAGGGTGGTGCCGAAGCGAACGTTGCGGGCGATGAAGGGGCTCTGGGACATGTTCTCCACGCCGCCGGTGAGGGCCACCTTGGCACCACCAACCAGGATGTCCTGGGCTCCGTTGACGATCGACTGGAAGCCGGAACCGCACAGTCGGTTGATGCCAAGGGCGGGTTTCTCGATGGGCACGCCGCAGTTGAGACCCACATGCCGGGGCACGTAGATACCATCCGTGGAGGAGGACTGCGTCGAGAAGGATGGGGTATTTTCACTTTATTAATCTATTTATATAACAACTTACAGTTTATACATTAATATGTATTTTTTAAGGGTATTTGAAAACTTATGTTCATGTGTTTTTTAAACTTTCATATCTATTATGGTGTAATCTCATAAATCTGATACGGATTATAATAATGCTTAATATAAGATTGCTGCTGTAGATAAGATTACGATTTCGTATACATATTTTGGTTCCGATTCTAGCGGGTTCTTAAATAATCCTGATTCCTAAAGGATCTTAAGGACCATTCCATATCCTACTTACCGCAATCACATTTCCTACGATGACGGTATCCACCTGCTCTCCCTTAAGACCGGCGGCATCCAGAGCTGCCTTTGCCGCTGTAGTCTGAAGCTGGGTCTGGTTGATGCCCTTCAAGGATCCACCAAAGGTTCCAAAGGCTGTCCGCTTAGCAGCCACAATATAGATACCTTATATAGGATAGACATATGTAGAACATATATTATATGCGTAGGCAAAGAGTGATAGTGATAGCACAAAAAACGAAAGCGGATTTTTGTTTTCGATTCAACAGGTCCAAAGTGCAACCGGCTGAGTGCGGGGGGGATAGCATCAGATAAGACATCAACAAGTCCAAAGTTCAGATCTCTATACAAAGATCATCTCACAGCTAGCCAGGAAGAATTCTGGGTTAACCGGAAGGATGAAGGAAATTACCTTTAGTTGCTGCAGACATTGTTTTTTTTTAAACTCTTAATTAAAACACAAAATAATTTAACAAGAAAGAGCGACTACTGCACTGCAATACCTATCGACTTCTGTTCGCAACTCGACTCGCCGCCTGCGTCGGCGGGCCGACATATTATTGGATGAAAGCTCAAAAGCTTTTTCGGGCGAGACAAGCCCACAATTTGCAGCTGTATAATACACTGGCACAAAATAGTTTGAGTTCACAACTTTCAATGATTAACAGACACGAATTTCCAAAGTTATGAAAGCAATGATTTTAGTTTCCAAACACAACTCATCAATGTTTTCTTAATAAATCTATTAAAGTTTTTTTCAAGTAGAACAGCATACAATTTTATGTTCTCTGACATTAATTTTAAAAAAAATGTTATTAAAATTTTTAGGCCGTTGGAGACTAAGTAATTTAGTTTCCGACCTCAATACAATTTTTCTTAAATAAAAAAGGGATTCACAGGCTGATGCTCCTTTCAGCATCACCTTCGGCTTATTAATGATTCCCTTTAGGTAGTTTTTTGTTAATTCTGCATTTTTAATTAGACTTTATGCTTGGAAATTAAGACTGAGTGGGAGTGGAATACAAATCTCATTGAGGATAATGGGTATCGGTTTGTAATGGAGACGGGGTTTCTTATGTTCTGTATTTATTATAAAGTAGTGTGCAATCTCTCTATGTCTAGGGCGAGTTGGAGATGTCCATGTTGTCCGACTTCTCGACGCTCACCGATTTGCGTGACTTTGAATCGGCGCTGGAGCGCGAGCTCTTCACCTCGATGTCCTCGGAAATGGATTTCAGCTTGCGTGTTTCGGGAGTACGTGAGCGGTCGCGTCGCCGTGAAGACTTGGAGGAAACGATGGTCGGGTCCTTGCTGCGACTAGAACGTGACTTGCTGCTGCTGGTCGCTGGCGGCGGTGACGGGGAGCTGCGCTTGCTTCTGGACCGCGGAGAACGCGACGAGCGCTTCTCACTGCGGTGTGACTTCTTGCTGCGCTCGCGGGATCGGGAACGCTTGCCGTTTCCACTGCCTCCTCCTCCTCCAGTGCCATGGGAACGGGAGCTACGAGAACGCGAGGTGCTGCGACGATGGCGCGACCTGGAGCGCTTGCCGCGCGATCTTGAAGAGCGAGAGTGCTTTCCGCCACGGGAGCGGGATCTCCTGGAGCGAGAGGTGCTGCGACGGTGTCGGGATCTAGAGCGCTTGCTGCGGGAACGGGAAGAGTGCTTTCCGCGCGACCGTGAGCGACGGGAACGGGACCCGCTGCGTCGCTCCCTTGATCCGGAACGCCTGGAACGCCGCCTCGATGTGGAGCGATGCGAGCGAGAGCGACTAGTACGACGATCCCGGGAACGTGAACGCGACCTTGATCTGCGCCTTTTGTCCTTGGCGAGCATTCCAATCACCGGGTCAATGGCGGCCGAGATCATACTTTGTGCCTCCTTTACAATAGTCATCGCCTCCTCGATCTCCGCTTGGGCCGCCTCATTGGACTTGGCTTCCGGCTTCGTTATGGAGTAGGTAGAGTGGTAGACGCTCAGGTGTCCGCCCTTGAACTCCTGGCCCTGCATGCGCAGGGCATGGATAATGCTGGTCTGTTCGCAAAACTCTATCATGCAGTACGTCTTGTTGTCCTTCTCTGCCCAGCGTGCGTACTTCACCTCGCCGGCGCGCTGAAAGCAGTCCATCAGGTCGTCCAGGCGCCACTCGTTCTTCACATCGCACACGATGATGGTGCGCCGGATCTCCTCGATCTTGCGGCCATCGTAGAAGGAGGGCAGGGCCGGATACTCCGGCAGATTGAACTCCACCAGCTTGGGGTCGTACGTCTTGATTACCTGCTGCGGCAGCTGGCCTTCGATACGGTTAATGACCTCAGGCGGCAACTTGGAGTCCGGCTTCTGGAGTCCCGGCACAATGGTGCCGTTTTTGAGCATCTCCAGGGCCCGGTACTCCTCGGGTATGGCTAGCACCGGGATGACGATGAGAGCGCGATCGATGAACACCGTGTTGGTCAGGTGCTGGGCCACCGGCACACTGGTCGTCTCCGTGTACTTCACATAGCAGATGCGCGACTGCACCGGGCAGGAGACGTCCCTGATGGTTGGGTACAGGCGGATCTCCTCAATCTTGCCGATGTTGCCGAACAGCGTTTGCATCTGGTCCTTGGTGGCCTGCGGCGCTATGTTGGTCACCTGGATTACACGCGGGGTGTTGCCGCCAGCCATGGTCGCCAGTTTTTCGGTTTGCCCGCGGCTCGGCAAGCGGTTTATTTGCAATAAAAGTGTTTTCAATTAACCTACAAGAGCAAGCGAAAAAACGCAAGGGTTGCAATGCGTCGCGAACATTCGATAGGATGTCGATAAATATATGACATCTGGCAACTCTCTCAAATCTAGCTACTTTGCGCCAAATCTAGCTTTTTTAAATTACGAAACATTTTTAAACAAGTGAAAACAAAAACTAAATAATTTTTTAAACTTAAAACAAAGAATAATTTAACTTATATTACTTTTATAAACCTTCGAAGTTATCATATTTCAGCGGCAAAGTGTGACCGTATTGGCTCTGTGGAGACGGTGTTTCTGACCAGTCCAAAACGGTCGCTCTAGCATGCACCAATTCACAAATACCACCTCACGATCGTAGGACTTGCAAACAATATAAAATCCGTGAATAAAGGACTGACAGATTGCCAGGAAGCGTTTCGCCTTGCCCCACGATGTCGGACAGCCCAGTGCCCGGCTCCGCATCCGCGTCCGCCTCCTCGTCGAGCCTCAGTGTCCTGCGGCAGTTTCGCATCAACAAGAATGCCTCCGCTGTCGCCGCGAGTCCTGCGAAAACTGGTACTTCCAGAGCTAAAAGTTAAAGTGACACCCCCGCTGATCGTGGAATACGTCTATTTCAGAGCGCGTGCCTGGCAAGAAGCGCATCCAGGTGATGGCCGACAGTGACAGCGATGGCAACGAGCCCCAGATGCCGAAGAAAACCAAACTGGAGCTGACCGTGAAGGAGAAGGAGGAGCGCTACATGGCGGCCGCCCATATCTCGCCCCAGTTCGACACAATGGTAGGTTTCTTTTTTGACCAAGATCCGAGATCCGGTGCTATGGACGGGGCATGGCGGGGAAGCGCGCGTCTATGCGTCTGTGTTCACGGAACATGGCGATTCGGTTCGTTCCCGGCGTTGCGAACAGCTGTCGGCGGTCAGGGGCGCCGCTAACGGGGGTGAATAAGCAATAGACCTCGTGTATAACACTTCCATTCTTACCTGATCTTTCTTAATTATTTTAATCGATCTGATTAGAAATTTTTTTTTTTAATTTGGAGAATATTTTAAAGTTATTTTTCAATATTACATTTTTTTAAAAGTTAATCTTTTTAACTATACTTAAATTTTTCCGATTTAATGTAATAAATAGTATATATATTTTTAAACTTCATTGGGTGTTCTGGTACATTTTTATTTGTTGTTAGATATTTTATTTATTCATTTAAGTGTCATTGTTCTAGTAGAATTTGGTATGTCTTGTTTACAAACTAAAAAGATACTTAAATGTTGATCTAACTTTCCAAGAAAATTTCCACGCCAGCTCCTTAAGTTCCCTTAATTCCCAGTTTCCGCTTCGGCTTCAGATTACTTTCTACTTATTCTAATTACGATATGAACGTTATTCCAGTTGCTCACAATAAATTGATACCGACAGCCAAATTCGTATTAGGTTTCGTATTTCAATGCACCCACATAAAATACATTCTTAATTATTCCGTAGGCCATCCAAGAGTCACTCTCCCGCACCAATTGGGATGTGGCCGCCTCTGTGCGCTACCTAAGGGAGCACTGCAAGCCCAAGGGCCAGAATGGACCGATGGTCAAGCCCAAGCTGAAGCCCACCTCGAACGGGACCAGTGGAACTTCACAAGGAAACTTCTCGGATAACGACCACTCAGACGACGACGATGTCAAGCAGTCCAAGGACCAGGTGTATGACAGCGATGACAGTGACACCGAGATGTCAACCAAGATGACGGGGCAGCGCAAAAAGGTGTTCCAGTTCATGAACGAGGCTACACTGATTGAGCTGCAGTCTGTTAAGACTCTGTCCGAGAAGAAAGCATTAGCCATCATTGAAGTGCGACCTTTTAGTGATTGGGCAGGACTACGCAAAAAGCTGGAGAGCATTAGGATGTCGGGTGATCTTCTCAACTACGCCCAGGAGCTCATCAACAAGCAGAACACGGTGGCCACCATTCTAAGCAAGTGCAACAACATGGTGTCCCGTCTGGAGAAGGCTATTTCCAATGGTGCCGGCATTGTGGAGCAGCCTAAGCTCCTTAGCAGCGGGTGAGTCTTAAACAGGATACTGTTTTTGTTTTAAAATACTAAAAAATGTATCTTATTCCTCAGCCTCCAGTTGGCTGACTATCAGATCATTGGCCTTAACTGGCTTACAGTGATGCACAAACAGGAAATGAATGGCATTTTAGCGGACGAAATGGGTCTGGGCAAGACAATTCAGGTGATTGCATTTCTGGCTTACCTAAAGGAGAATGGTCTCAGCCAAGCGGCCCATCTGATTGTGGTACCCTCGTCCACGCTGGACAATTGGGAGGCGGAGATCAGCAGATGGTGCCCCAAACTGGTGGTGGAGAAGTACCACGGCTCGCAGGACGAGCGGCGAAGAATGCGAGGGCGCTATGCCAAAGATGGCTTCACTGGCTTTGATGTTCTTCTGACCACGTGAGTAACCAAAAGGGCATACAAAAATTGAAGTATAATGGTTTCAATATTATAGCTATCACATTGTTGGATCCACGCCGGAGGAGAGAAAAATGTTCCGGGTTTGCAAGTTGGACTATGTCATCTTCGATGAAGCGCACATGCTAAAGAATATGACCACGCAACGGTATGCCAACCTTATAACCATCAATGCTAGGATGCGCATCCTGCTCACTGGAACTCCGCTACAGAACAATCTGCTGGAGCTTATTTCTCTGCTCTGCTTCGTGATGCCTAAGTTCTTTGCCAAGAGCATCGATGATATCAAATCGTTGTTTGTTAAGGTAAGAGATAGAACCCTACACAGTAACATAAAATTAA